CTCTCTCTCTCTCTCTCTCTCTCTCTCTCTCTCTCTCTCTCTCTCTCTCTCTCTCTCTCTCTGTCTCTCTCTCTCTCTCTCTCTCTCTCTCTCTCTCTCTCTCTCTCTCTCTCTCTCTCTCTCTCTCTCTCTCTGTCTCTGTCTCTGTCTCTGTCTGTCTCTCTCTCTCTCTCTCTCTCTCTCTCTCTCTCTCTCTCTCTCTCTCTCTCTCTCTCTCTCTGTCTCTGTCTCTGTCTCTCTCTCTCTCTCTCTCTCTCTCTCTCTCTCTCTCTCTGTCTCTGTCTCTGTCTCTCTCTCTCTCTCTCTCTCTCTCTCTCTCTCTCTCTCTCTCTCTCTCTCTCTCTCTCTCTCTCTCTCTCTCTCTCTCTCTCTCTCTCTCTCTCTCTCTCTCTCTCTCTCTCTCTCTCTCTCTCTCTCTAAACATCGTGTAGTGTACTCTACATATCAAAATATATTACTTTGAAACCCGTATCATTCACTAAAAAAAAAAAATGGGCTACTTTTATTACAAATTCGCTACTTTTAGACCGTCAGCTCGCTACTTTCCACAATATGGATCTGGCAACCCTGGATAAACAGTAGTGGATGTGTGCGCGCGTCTATATAAGCAGTTACATAGATTTTTACCTAAATTTACTAGTGTCCTCGACGAGGATAGGACTCCGGCTCGTCAAAGGGTCATTCCATTTGCCCTGATGATATATTTTACAGCTGTATTGTAAAATCCAGCATAGATTTGGCGTTTACGGCTTAGGCGGGTAGGCGGTTCCAAGGGTTTACACCCCTATGGGTGATCAAGCATCTCCTGTTTTCTGATTATAGTTGTGACAATGTGTGAAAAATTCTCTCCTGTTTTCTATCGTGTATTGTGGCTTGTTGAGCTTGAAACCGTTGCTCCTTGTTTGTGTTATATATAACCTTTCAAAGAAGTCAGGATCAATATCCTCCAAATTGTTCATTAGTTTTGAAGTTTTCAGATCAGTCCTGTCTTGTCTGTTTTTTTGCAGTTATAATGATTCATTGTGTCAGGGGACAGGAAGCCAGAGTGTATTCATTCACGTTAGCTTTAGTGTGGAGGTCTGCCCCACCCAGGATGTAACCCCACAACAAGCTGACCATCTCCTGAGAGCCTTACTGCTAGGTAAACAGAGCATTAGGTGAAAGGAAATATGCCTAACCATTTCTGTCCCGCCCGGGATTGTTAGCTGTGGCCCTCAATCATTCCTGGTATGGGAGTCGACTTAGTTCTGGAATGATTTTAGTTACCCATGCATTGATCTTTCTCCAAACTAGATATACTGTATTGTTTTGAAGGTGAGGTCTACATAAGAACATAAGAACAAGGTAACCGCAGAAGGCCTATTGGCCCATACAAGGCAGCTCCTATTTATAACCACCCAATCCCACTCCTATACATGTCCAACCCACGTTTGAAACAATCGAGGGACCCCACCTCCACCACTTTGCACGTTAATTGGTTCCACAAATCAACAACCCTGTTACCGAACCAGTATTTACCCAAGTCTTCAATTTATACCCATTTTTTCGGTTCTGTCTTGTGTGATACTTTTAATACCCTATTAATATCCCCCTTGTTATGTCCATTCATCCACTTGTAAACCTTTATCATGTCACCCCTAACTCTTTGCCTTTCCAGTGAATGCAATTTAAGCTTTGTTAATCTCTTTTCATATGACAGGTTTCTAATTTGAGGATTGCAAATGTTGCTACTCAAACCTGAATGTAAATCATTAATGTATATTACAAACAACCAAGGTCCCAGGACAGAGCCTTGAGGCACTCCACTTACAACACCCTCCCAGTCTGACCCAACCCCATATATACTGACTCTGTCTTCCTTGGCACAACCATGCCCCAATCCAACCCAATATAGCATCCCCAATACCATGGGCCTCCATGTCTTCAATCAGTCTCCCATGTGGCACTGCATCAAAAGCTTTGCCAAAGCCAAGGTACACAACATCACAATCCCCACCACCATCAACTGCCTCAACTTGTTACTAATGCTTCAATTAATAAATCCCAGTGTCCTATTTGCCTTATTACGAACATTCATGCATTGATCCTTTAGTTTTAAATTCTTACTAATCATAACTCCCAGATCCGTTTCGCAATCTGACTTCGCAATCTCAACACCGTCTAGTTCGTATCTTGTAACTGTATCATCATTACCTAGCCTCAGAACTTTACATTTATCAGCATTAAACTGCATCTGCCAATCTTTTGACCATTTCAAAACCCTATTTAGATCAACTTGTAGTGATGGTGAGTCGTCTTCCGTGTTAATTTCCCTACCGATTTTTGTATCATTGGCAAATTTGCAAATGTTGCTACTCAAACCTGAATCTAAATCATTTATATATATTATAAACAACAGAGGTCCCAAGACAGAGCCTTGAGGTACTCCACTTACAACATTTTCCCACTCTGACTTAATGCCATTTATACTAACTCTCTGTTTCCTTTGGTATAGCCATGCCCTAATCCAACTTAATATAGCATCCCCAATACCATGAACCTCTAAACACCCCCAAATACCATGAGCCTCTAAGGTCTTCATAATTGGATGCAATAATCAGAGCACCAGAGATTTATACAGTTGTACAAGTACCTTCTTCCATTCACCTGGGCTGTAGGAGACTCGAACCGCAGACCCCATGCGTGCGAGGTCTAAGCTCTAGGTGAATGGAATGTTTATTTCCACGGAAGTGTGGATGATAATTTACAAGTATTTTCTTGCTGTGCAACTTTCAGCGATTGGTGGATTCTGATTCCAAAGCCCTTTTCTTCATCAGTCTGCTGCAGGGTAATATTATTAACTTGGTAGTTGTAATGTGGGCTGTTATGCTCCTTATGCAAGGTCTTGTATTTTTCAATATTGAAAAGCATTTGCCAGTCTCAAACATTTGTTAAGTTCATGTAGATCTTCTTGTAAAGCCTCAATATCATTGTCACTTCCTAATTTACAATAAATCTTGGTGTGATCTGTAAATCTGATGATGTAGTTTGTAATATTCTCATCTATGTCATTGACTTACATGACAAAAAGGGTTGGCATTAATATGAAACATTGTGGTACCCCACTCACCAAATTCTTCCAGTCATATTCACTTCTGTTTAGCATGACCCTTTGTTTTCTTTTATTTTAACCATTGTTTTATCCATTCTAGTATTCTGCCATTTATTCAGTGTGCTTGTAATTTTCTTGACAGTCTTTCATGTGGTACCTTTATCAAAAGCTTCAGCAAAATCCATATATACTACGTCTACTGCATGTCCTTTTTCTGAATGGTGATGGAAATCTGCACAGAAAGGATGATCCAAGAGACTTAGCGACACTAAAAAATGCACTATCGAAGAGTGAAGTTTTATCTCTGATGGGGGATACATAAAATCCTTTGTGTTGAGTGAAAACCCTTCAGTACCAGGCACCAAAGACCATCATGGGTGTTAAAGGGAACCCATGGACCCATCTTGGGCTCCCTTCCCCATTCCCTCACAATCCATAAGGCTCCATCAACTTGTACCAAAGACCCCTAGAGGAGAACTAGATTTCCTGCCAGATACCTGGGAACACCAACAGACATTCCCCTATAAGGGAGAATCAACGGCAATTCATTCTCTTCTAAAGAGAAGGTAACAGATCCCTGGCAGAAAACCTCCTTACCTGTCCCCTCTGCTAGCTACGAATCTTCTATGTGCTGAATCCCCCCCCACTCAGAAAAAAAACTGCAGTCCGCCTCAACCTCTGAGCCTCACAGAGGAACCATACTCTACTCAGGGCTAGGTCTCTCGAAAGGAAGAAACTCTAACGACCAAACATCTGAACCTTAGCCAGAATGCCAGCGACAACTCGTGGGACAAAGTCCAAAAGGAAACCCAACTCTAACCTGAAAGTGAAACCAAGAATGGCAGCTAGGCTGCATTGTAACAGCCTGTAAGGTATACAAAAACAACAGATGTTCTCCAACTTGCCTAAAACCAAACAATTGGCTTAGCTCCACACACAGATTTTGCTGTACTACAACCAACCACTAATACACTGATAAATCAAATACAGTACAGGGGTAATTTTTTTAGATTTAAAGGGAGTTCTTCAAGTAATTGAAAACCTAACATGGAAAATAGATACAGTACTAGGAATGTTGTAACATTAATTATAAACAACATAATTAAGAGCACAGAGCAAGAGTTTCAAATCTGCTTTGTATGGATACCATTGCACCGAAGTGTTATCTAATGTAATGATATGGACAAGACAGCTACTGCCGCTTGTAAAAAACATGAAATTGAGCTGGACTTGGGTATTCCAGTCGCTTCTGTCAAAACCACACTGCTGTATTTCCAGAAACAAGGGTTGTTATGATAACTGACACTCAAAGGATAAACTACTTATAAAATAGTAGTTTTATAAGGTGAATGAATTGGATTACTTGTTTAAAGAATTATGAAACTGTGTTAAAAACTGAGAACATATGTTCGGACAGTGTGAAATTGTAATTGCTAAATTTTGACTGGGATATTGTTACTTATGGCAGGTAAATGCAGGTAATGAATCTCCCAAAAATGAGCTCTCCAATTGTAAACTCTGTGAACAAGAAGTAGGCCACACCCTTCAAAACTTTACATGCGAATGCTCTGTTACCTGATACCTGGTACCTGGTATAATAAGGTCAAGGTCTGTTATCAAGGATTTATTACCAAATGGCATGAAATACTTTGAATTTGATCATTATTTCATTCACAGGCTATTCGCCTGGCGTTCCGCGAGCGCTATGTCATGGGTTCGTATCCTGGCCGGGGAGGATTTACTGGGCGCAATTCCTTAACTGTAACCTCTGTTTAACGCAACAGTAAAATGTGTACTTGGATGAAAAAACGATTCTTCGCGGCAGGGGATCGTATTCCAGGGACCATAGGATTAAGGACTTGCCCGAAACGCTACGCGTACTAGTGGCTGTACAAGAATGTAACAACTCTTGTATATATCTCAAAAAAAAAAAAAAAAAAAAAGTAGCAGCACGCTACTGTGTACCTAAGCATAATAAAGACAACTCAGTAGTTCACTGATCTTGCCACCCTGTTCTCCCATTGTAATGTGCCTGTGAGACAAACTGTGTTGTCTCACAGGCATGTGGGCTCGATAGTGATGAGCTCGGTCTGCCAGCTGGTGACCCTGTTCTCCCATTGTAATGTGCCTGTGAGACAAACTGTGTTGTCTCACAGGCATGTGGGCTCGATAGTGATGAGCTCAATCTGCCAGCTGGTGGTAGGTGGGGGGGAAAATTGTTGAGAGATGGTGGTCTTATTTATTTAATGGATACCTATTTATCAAACAATCATTTGCAGGAAGTATTGGATGTTTTGGGACAGTTGACACATTAGGGTGGTTCATCTCAGTAGTGGGTTGATCTTTGATCTCTTATGTGCTCCTCTGACATTGAGAGACAAGTCGAGGTGAAATTCCACTTGATCTCGGCTGGCTGAGCAGGGCCAACTGGTCTGTTACTTGTTTCTTTCTTAGTGTTATACTGTATTCCCTTTTGGGGTTGGTTCCTTCTTTTGATAATTATATAACTACTTGCCTTTTTCTTTTTGGTAAGTCTTGAGTTTAGTGTACCTAAAGTATGATTTTTACTTTCTTTGCATTAGGGATAGTTAAGGAGATATGCAGCTTGGGAAGTAAGCTTTATAAGGAAAAGGGTAATGCATCTTCCACTTCTGCTTTCTTGTGATACACTTGTAAAAACTAAGAAACCATGGCCCAACTTGCACTGGATTGGAAAGGTAAGATATCACAAGCATTGTGGTTATAATATTAATTAATTTAGTATAATAAATGTATAATACTGCATTTAGAACCTAGGATAAGGTCTTTAAAACTCTGGACCTAAAACTAATGATTGGCTACAAATTTTCCAGGACTCGAGGAAAGCTTATTTAATATCACAGCATGTAATAGGTGAAGTGGATCTTCTCACAGGAAATGCCTCCAAGGTCCAGAAAATTGGTTCCTTGATTAAGACGGCAGCAGCAGTTAATTACACATACAATGGTAAGATTTTTAGTTTTTATGCTTGGAAGAATGATTTAGGGTTAGGCAGGAGTAGAGCATCTTCCAGTTATTGTTGGATAAAATTAATAAAGTTTATTGCATTTCTAGCAGCTGTAATGCAAATTTTATTGCAGCTACTGCATAAAAACAATTTGCCACACAGAAAAAGATAGAGAGTGAGTAAGGTGTGTGGGCGTGAATTTTTTTTATTATGAGGGAGTGCAAAAGTGAGAGGAAAAGAGGCTTGCATGCAAGTGTGTGTAACATCATGTAATTACTGTAATTCAATGTAATTAGGTGCAATTATATGATGAGAACTGTACTTGTGGTGTGTGGCTTTATGGTGTGTGGTGTGGGCTGGGGTTTTGGTTTGACCGCAATGAGAAGGACACTGGTCCTGAATATTCAATATTCAAAGGTACTGAATATCATAAACTTATTTTGTCCAGGTCATATTGAAAGGTATAACAGTCATCTAAGTTTCTTATTTTCATCATTATTAAAGAACTTGTTGAGTTTTCCATAGAATCCTCTCTTGAAATCAAGTTTTTCAACCGTTTCATTTTCCTCATTCTCTTGTTGATTATAATGCATTGCACATTTTATTTCTTAAAGGACATGGTCGCTCTTTCCCAACGGAGGAAAGTAGTGAATATCAAATATCTCCTTTTCTTTCCTGGTGAATATCAAGTTTATCATTGAAAGAACAGCCCCATCCCTCATCAACTAGTGTTTCTTAGCCTATTAAGTAATTGTATCACTCTAATAAATTACCAAAACTTTTCCAAATTTTTTCTCCTCTTAAATGTCATTTATTTTTTTTTAGGAACATATGTGTATGGTATTTTGACCTCGGGGGACATTTTCTTCTGGAACCAGAAAACAGAGTCTCTCACACAAGCACAGGGGATTCCTGCCCTCGTTACCCACATGCCCTCCGCAGCAAATAAGGATTCAGATGGTTAGATATGTTATAATATTAGAGTTGTCAAATTTGTCAATATAATATAGGATAGATTAATATAGGGGTACCACCTCTGGTTTTGTTTGTAGGGACCACTGGCCTGACGAAGACGATATGTAGCATCCGAGGGAGACTTGTGAGGCACCTGTGTACACTCACATATTATCTTCTCCTGCCACCCCCCTATATATATTATATAGCTAAAAATACTGTATATGTAGTATGCAACATAATAGATGTGTGTTAAGTGGGAAAATTCTGTATTAACATAATAAATAGTGAATTTATTCAGTTCTATTTACGGTATTTGTTTTCCAGATGGTCCTCTGCAAGTAGTAATGGATTTTTTCAAGCTTCTAAGAACACAAAACCCTGATACTTACGAAACCACACAAAATGCTCAGTTGTCTCCCGGTTGTTCTGTTCCATCTCACCACAAACCCAAACTTTTTGCGTCATCAGACTGTTCAATAGTTATTGTAGTTTTGGGCGCCAGTCAGGTAAGTTAATGTACGGTACAGGGCACCACAATTGTTTGAAGCCTGCATGCTCTATTGGCATTGCTGTACTGTGTTTTGGAGTTAGACAAAAATATTATAAGTAAACCAAAAGTGGAAATAAAAAATTATTCACTGAAGTACATAATTCGGACATCAGTAACCCGAGGTTCCGAGTAAATTGCCAATATCACTACTGTACCAATCTTTATGGTAATTTTATGAGTGCATAATCTTGATTATGGAGGGTAGTGACAATTACTTCCCAATGCTTTTCAAATACAGTATATGTATAAACCTTAAAACTAATTGTATAAAATAAAACTAAAACTTAGTATAAAATAAGTAATTTGTGTACAGTATGTGAAATTGTGAGGAGGTGACATCATGTTTATGTAAGAATGTGTGAAAGTGTGTGTACTGTATGTGACAGTATGTATGCATATATGGAATTGTGTATATCAGTTTGCATACATATTTGTATATATAAAAATATGCATATATACCTGAATTTACTTGAAGGCCACTAACACTAGTGGTCTCAATGAAGACAGGAAGCGGGCAGCTTGTCCAAGGTTCCCCCCATTTGCCCTGATGATTTTTTCCACTGGATTTTAAAATTTAACAGTTTGGCATTTATGACTTCGGCAGGCAGGCAGTTTCATGGATTTATAACTCTGTGGGCGAAAAAGCGCATCACCTGTTTTCAGTCCTGCATTGTGGCCTATTGAGCTTGAAACTGTTGCTTCTTGTTTGTGTTACATCTGACCTTTTGAAGAAATTGTCTGGATCAACATCCTCCAAACTGTTATGTAACTATCTGCAAATGATAGCTTAAATGCAAAAGTGTGTATTTGTCCAGGGTGTAGAGTGTGTACAATATTTGTACACTCTCACACTTTCACACAGTGTGAAAGTGTGAATGTGTGAGTGTATATGCGATCTGTGAGTGAGTGGTAAATGTGTTGAGAAATGTTTTTGTAATAATGGTTCGAATTACACACAGAAATCACAGTAACGTGATGCATCAAATGAACAAATCCACAAGGGCCGTGACGAGGATTCGATCCCATACGCTGTAGCTCAGTCGATTAAGGCAGCGTCTGGGATGCTCCCAGACGCAGGTTCGAATCCTCGTCACGGCCTTTGTGGATTTGTTCATTTAATGGTTTGAGTGGTGGTGTATTGGAAGAGGAATATAAAAAGTGCACTGTGGAGTCTGAACCATTACCATACTTTTCCCATATATTGTACCTTTAAATTCAATTTGCTCAGATTTGGATTTGCATGTCTGGCTTATCTGGGGGAGGGGGAATGCCTTCCCATATAGTCCAGATAAGCGAGCTCATACAGTACAGGCTGCCTGGTCCCGATAATGGGAACTATACATACTGTATATAATTATGCTCATGTTATGCATGGACTGTACTAAGAATTAATATTTACAGGTATATCTGTGGGAGAGAGATTTGTCAAAACCTTTCAACAAAAGAAATTCCAGCTTCATTTCTGGCCAGTGGTCAGTTGTTGCAAGTTCTAGTGATATTCCACTGCCTACTCTCCAGTCAAGAGAAACTCAAGTAACATCATGCTTCTTGACTGAGGGAGTAAGTTACTTGTCCCGTCTGAATATATATGTATCATTGTATGATTTTTGTATGATCTCTATAGATACTGAAGTATCTATATATCATTGCATCTATGGGATCTAGTATTAAAATGTAACATTTGTTGTTACTTGTCTGGTATGAGTACCCTATGGGACAAAGGTGGGAATGATGTATGGATGTGTAGCCTTGATGGGGCATGGGTGGGAATAATATAAAGTTAGAACAGTAGAGTGGGACACTAAGAAGCATGTGTGGTGGTGTTAAGATGACTAAGAATGTTGTTGTAGAAAGATGCAGAGCAAAGAAGTCATATTCTTAGTCATCTTAACATAGGTGGTGTTAAGATGACTAAGAATGTTGTTGTAGAAAGATGCAGAGCAAAGAAGTCATATTCTTAGTCATCTTAACATAGGTGGTGTTAAGATGACTAAGAATGTTGTTGTAGAAAGATGCAGAGCAAAGAAGTCATATTCTTAGTCATCTTAACATAGGTGGTGTTAAGATGACTAAGAATATTGTTTTAGAACGATGGAGAGCGCAAAAGCCTGGTTATATTTCAGATTGAGGAAAGCAAGCTGCTTGGATATGATCAAGGTAAACAAATGAATAGTAAGAATATATTTTAGTGAATTTGAGGAGAGTTTTGAGGAAGCTAAGAATAAGTTGAGTAGATGTGGAGAATGTAATTACCCAATGTTGTTACATGATTAGAAAACATGATAGGTACTTGTTTTGGACTGCAAAAAACAAGTGATTTTCTTTTTTTATCAAATAAGGTTTGAATGTATTGAAGCATTGTATTTCTATGGGTCTTGGTATTAAATTGACCTCTTTACATTTAGAATATATTTACAACATGATATTTTTGACCAAATATTAAATGCAGTGGCTAGGCCAAACAAATCATTGGAGGTTGTGTAATGCAAATGTATTTTATATTAAAGTTGTAAGACAATAGAAAATAACTAGGTGTTAAGCCTTTTATTTTTACGTTGATGATGCTTTCCATATTGTGTGTGGCTAGCATTAACTTTGGATGTATTCTCCGTTACATATTGCAGCGTCTAGAAAAGCAGTGTCACACAACCTTCAGTTTTGTTGATGACTCTTGCCTCATCATTACAACTTTAATTTTGCAATGGGGAGGCTTCGGGTGTGTGGTGTCAGAGGGCAGAGAAGCTTCAGCCTGTTGGAACTATGTATCCGTGTCCCATCTGGCTATTGGAATGAAAGGCTCTGAAGTGCTACAAAGTGAAGGAACCTTAATTTCTCAGTAAGCATTAAAGATCTTATTTTATATGAAATTAAAAGTAAAAATAAATATTCATAAATTATAAAGCTTTTGGGTAGTATAGAATACAGTACTAGTTACTGTGTTTTGCAGTCTGCTAGCAAACCTTGACAGTAAAGAATTTAATTTGTTACCGCACAGTCTAAATGACTGCTACGAATAGATGCACAATATCTTGCATAAAGTTAATAAAATCTGTACACATTGAACATAAGTTAATGCTTTCAGATATGCCCATAGCCAAAGTCTCATCTGTACTGGTGTGAATTCTTCGCTGCAACAACGCTCTAAACTGGTTTACCTGCATCCCATGTGTAACACTGCAGTTGTAACTAATGTTTGTGATGCTGCTGCTCAACACGATTTTCATAATTCAAAGTTAGTGTATGCAATATAGACAAATACTATTTGAAGTTACATAAAAACAGAGGTGCACTATGTAGCTAGGACTATTAGACACATAATATAATAATTATAATACTGTAATTCATTGTGTCGGAGGACAGGTAGCCAGTGTGTATTCATACATATTAGGCTTTTATGTTGCAGGTAATATTTATAAGTGTTATAAATTATTTGTTTCACAAATTGAAATATATATATTTTGGTTTCATACCGACCTAACTACACCAGGATGTACTTTTAAGATCTTGAAGCTAAATTCTGCTTAGCCAAATAAGGTAGGCATAAGACTTTCCAACCTTTTAAAGTTAAGACTTTTGTCAAACTTTCAAGGTCTTTTATGTTTACCTTAGTTGAATTGAAGAGTTGTTATATATGATGCGTTCAGATTCCAGTTTCTTTTTATTTTTTAATTACTGTATGTTCAAATATTGCTATTAACATTAATGTTAATATTGTTCACTCTGCAGTGGTGATAAGTTTCATTGGGTGAGCAGTCTGGCCTGGTGTCGAGATAACACCTATGTAGTAGGATGTCTGAGATCTGGAGCCGTCTTCATGGCCACAAGGATGGGACCACTGGTAAAGATCTCTTGCTCGGGAGAGAGCCTGCAGCTCCAGGCAGCAATGATACTACCTCTGTACCCATATTCTGACACTCTGAGGAGAGAGTAAGTACTCTGCAACACGTTTGAAACCTTCAACATGTATGAAATGATTAAGTGGATATTGTTTTAAACAGGGAATAATTATTGGACACAATTACCGTGTGTGTCGCAGCATTAACGTGAGGTGAGAGTGAGATGGGAAGTCGTGTTTGTGTTTCTTGTTATGTGTTGTGTTTACTAGTTGTGTTTTTACGGGGGTTGAGCTTTGCTCTTTCGGCCCGCCTCTCAACTGTCAATCAACTGTTTACTACTTTTTTTTTTTTTTTTTCCCACACCACACACACACACCCCAGGAAGCAGCCCGTGACAGCTGACTAACTCCCAGGTACCTATTTACTGCTAGGTAACAGGGGCACTTAGGGTGAAAGAAACTTTGCCCATTTGTTTCTGCCTCGTGCGGGAATCGAACCCGCGCCACAGAATTACGAGTCCTGCGCGCTATCCACCAGGCTACGAGGCCCCCCGGCCTGGAGCTGTGTGTTGTTTAGTATTTGTTGTTGCTGATAACAACAGCTGCATATCCCAGTTTTGGTCTTACGAATGTTGTGAACAATTTCTTTTTAGTATTTATCCACTCACAATATATTTGATGAGATCATCTGGATAGTAAACTGTCACCAGAGGATCACATTCTAAGGTGTTGTTCAAATATACAGATGTAGAAATACTGAAGACACATGGTTCATGACATTTGTATGTGTGTGTACATGTACTCACATTAATGTACTTTCAGAGTCTAGCATTGGCTCCTTGCTCTTCCTTCAAAACATTTTTAGTGTAATGCAATTATTTGGTTCCACACTTTTCTTATCAAAATTATATTTAAAATTGGGTATTGAGTATCTTCAGTCACTTCTTTGTTTAACCCATTCCCAGAAAGGTGGCATTTAATTATACTTGATACTTTGCTTTAATATGTTAATGAAATAATATGGTTTCTTTATTTCAGAAGCAGCCATGAAGAACAGTGTGTAAATACAGAAAATTACTCGCCTGCTAGTCCAGCTTTCTCTGTATCTTGCCATCCGGTAAAGGACCAGTTTCTTTTGTCGTCTGGTGTTCGAATCTCAGTCTTAGTTCTTCCAGAAAATGGAAGAAGGTAAGAGTGGTATATCCATGGATCTTAAAGAGGATTTGCCTTAATTATGGAAGTGTGTAGGAGTGTGTGTAGGATGTAAGGCTGAATAAGGGTATGCATGTGTATGGGGGGAAGTATTTTGAGTGTGGCACTTACTCAAGAATGGCTAGCCCATGCAAAATAACTAAGGATTACTTTAAGTGTTACTAATCAGTAATCAATCCTGGAGAGTTTATTTAACTTATTTTATGGCTTCCACATGAATAGTTGTGCTGTAATTAATATAATTATTGAGTACAGTACTGTATTACTAAATTACTTTGTTTACAAGCCCTCAGACCACGAGAAACATTATGTTTCTTAATAAGTTCCAACATTTAAAAAACATTGCTAAAGTTGTCAAACATTGTTAACATTGTCTTTCAACACAGCCAAAGTATTGATATCAGCTTATAAGTCGGTATTAATATCGGTCAATGTTTGGGTATCAACACATCTTCAGTAATAGATAGTGGGTGTTTTTGGCTTTAGAGTATTGTATTCTAAACCTAATCACTGTACAAGTATACATCATTTTACCCATCTTGGCCAATAATATTATAGCTCTCCACTAGCTGCTGTGTGACATTGAGGCTCTGCTTCCAGTTTACACCCACACAGCACTAAGTCTTGGCTCCCAGTTTACACCCACACAGCACTAAGTCTTGACTCCCAGTTTACACCCACACAGCACTAAGTCTTGGCTCCCAGTTTACACCCACACAGTACTAAGTCTTGGCTCCCAGTTTACACCCACACAGTACTAAGCCTTGGCTCCCAGTTTACACCCACACAGCACTAAACCTTGGCTCCCAGTTTACACCCACACAGCACTAAGTCTTGGCTCCCAGTTTACACCCACACAGTACTAAGTCTTGGCTCCCAGTTTACACCCACACAGTACTAAGTCTTGGCTCCCAGTTTACACCCACACAGTACTAAGTCTTGGCTCCCAGTTTACACCCACACAGTACTAAGTCTTGGCTCCCAGTTTACACCCACACAGCACTAAGTCTTGGCTTCCAGTTTACACCCACACAACATGCATCACTATTCATGAACTACATATCCTGACTTGAGCTAGCTCTAGCATCCTACATAATTGTATGATGAAGGATCATTAACTGAAAGAATGCTCATTGAGTTTGTTGATTTATGTTTGTTCACGTGAGTTCCACCACCTTATTGCGATTCAGTAAAGGTGATAAGGAAGACGAGTCTCATCCCAGTTTCTCTTTCCTTCTCTTAAAGTAATATTGTTTTCTGTCAACTGCATATCCTCTCAATTTTAATAACTGGTTTGCTTATTTTTTATATACTGTATAAGTAATCATTTGGTATATACCACCAACCAGGAGGCCTAGTCAGAGACCGGGCTGCGGTGGACATTAATCCCCGGAACCAACAGTGGGTAGAATGGATGGGTATGATATACATTGTTATAATATATATTAAGTATTCAAAACATTTTATTTTTCCCACAGAGATGGTGATGTTGTAGATCAACTGTTAGCAGCTGCTAATCATGCTTTATATCTCTTACGTCACTCTTCCCTCACCCATGACTATGCCTACATTCGCTGTAGCACTTGGAGATTAGCTCGTTCAGTAGCAGATTTGTCCCAGGATGTCAACGGATCATTTGAGCCTGATCAACCTAAGGTATGAGTAACTAATGATCTCATTCTTAAATGATCATATTCAATGTTTCTGAACTTTAACCACTGTCACTTTCTTAGGCAGTGTTTAGCTCTTGGATATGGCACAGAAATAGCTACATGCTACTGGCTACAAGCCAGTAGCATCAAGAGGTCAACCATGAGTGGTGAATGTGGCTCAAGCTCCCAACCCAGGCTTCTATCGATGTTTTTACTTACAGATGATGAAATTAATAAAATCCTGGAAGAATATAAGCTTGTAAATGACTTAGATGATTTTGAGAGTGATTAAGATTATGTGTTAGGCTCAGAAGACATTTGTCCAGGCAGCGTTTTGTGTCGTTTTCATCTTGCCCTACAAAATGCAGTCTTGGTACACTGCCTTATGTGCCTACCACTTGTTGGAGCTTGTGAACAGGCCCAAGACAAGTGCATTGTCTGCAAGACCACAGAGAGGAGAAAAAAGCAACAGAAGGCAGCTATAACTTGCTGACGAGTGTGTTGGTCTAGGCCGGACTACAACAACTGGTTTCAAGATCATCACACCTTAGAGAATTGCTTAGTGGGTCGTAACTGTACATAATCATGTTGATAGTTATATGTAGTGTGTGTGTGTGTGTGTGCAGTGTGATAACAGAAAAAATAGTATGTTTTATTGTTCTAATTATATTCATATTATGTGTGCATATGAGTGACATGAATATATCTGTGCACACTAATGTCTAACACATTCTGTGATATAAATACAATTATTGATAGCTAAATTCATCATTGCACTGAAAAAACATGATTATGATAAAAATATGAATTAAATAAAATACTGTATACTCAATGCATGCAGTTACAAATTGGTGCAAAATGTACAGGGTTAGGCTGTGCTCTGAATGTCACACACTAGAATTTCATAAGGGCTTTTAATGGTGCTTAATCATGTTGATATTTACGTATAATGTATACTTACCTAAGTGTAGTTACAGGATGAGAGTTACAGGCTTGTGGTGTCCCATTTTCCCAGTACAGCACTCTGTCATATAAAGTTTGAAGCTACTGATGGTTTTGGCCTCGACCACCTTCTCGTCTAACTTGTTTCAACCGTCAACCACTCTGTTTGCAAAAGTGAACTTTCTGATGTTTTTGGGCTTTGGTCTCGTGTCTCACTTGGGTCTGCTGGTTGTAGTTTTTGTCGCAGTGGCTGTTTGGGGCTCTGTACTTTTTTTCCAGTTCCTTGTTTCTATTTGGTCCTTGGTCTTTTGTGTAGTTCAGTTTTTGTTTTGTTAGCTCTGGTGAACACTTTTGTTACTTTGGGTCGTCCATTATTTGTGAAAGGTTGCAGCATTGTCGGCTACTTTTGCTGTTATGTCGTGGGCTGATATTTTGACTTGGAGGTTTTAATGCTCTAATATAGTTTTGGTGGCATGTTACCTGGCTACTGTATGTACGGTGGGCATGTGTGGCATTGGGTAGGGTTACCTGTCTTTGATTTCTCCCTCCTTCAGGGGTTATGATCTGTTCTCCTTCACTCCTGGTGAGTTCCCCGGTTTTTGTTTGTAATCTGTATGTGAGACAGCAACATACAGCTGTCTTGGAACCCTTCCAGAAATCCCTATGTTGAATTTAATTAAATGTCTCTTTCTAGTGGTCCAAGATGACATCCTGAACCAATCCTTCCCTTGAGGATCTTCAGTTCCCCTTGGTTTGATTCATGGCCAAAAAAGTACACCAGAACCACCAGCTTCCAATGCTTCCACCTGGTGGTGGGGAGGCGAGACTTTTGGTGAAACAACCTAACTTGGGTGACATTTTCTGGTGGCTAATTCCTCAGTTAGAATGATCCAGTGCTCTCTGCACCTTCTATGAAGAGACCAGATTTTGGCCTCTGGTCTCCAGTGGGCTGTTAATGATGTGCAAGGGCCTGGTGCGATCTGATAGGTGTGGAAATATCTAGGGCAGCTAGCAACAAGGAGCCATCTAGGATCCACCAGAAAGAGGCATTTTATTACATTCAACACTAGGTTTATTTGTCCAGTTTATTCTACCATAATGAGTCATCTGTAACACAAATGTTGTTAGGCCAAGTTGCCCAAGATATTTCTAACCCAATATGCTTTCCTTCCATTTTTATCAGGCTATTATTACATGTAATTTTATTTAATAATATTCAAATAATTTTTGTGTGGGATGAAATTGCTGCTGTGCTTATTGTAAAGTAATTGTTTTGTCATAAATTCTACACAAATAACATTACTCCTCTTCCCCTCAGTAGATTGCACTCTATACTTTAATGCAATAATAATAATAATAATAATAATAATAATAATAATAATAATAATAATAATAATAATATAACGAGGAAATATGTAGGGGCCGTGATGAGTGTTCAAACCTATGCGGTGGGTGTTTCCACCCACAGGGTGTTCTCTGTGTATTGAAAGTGTAGCGTCAGAGGTAGAACATTCGTGGATGACAGAGCCAGAGTGTATTAGGGGGGAGGACTGTGTGAAAATCCTGTTCCGGCTTCAGTAGAAGCTTCAGGAAATACCTGTGTGTTCAGTAAAACTCCAGGTTGCAATCCTTTTACCATGTCGTGGCCTAGTTGACTAGGTCGTGTGCGTGTGATTACTCTCCGTATAATAATAAAAATGTTTATGTAGCTGTAAACTATATTTCAGATCAGCTTGTGGGGTAAGAACAGCCTCGTTCACAAAGAATGCAAGACTCGACCGGATATTCCTTCTGAAGGGGAGAAGCTGGTGAGGCAAGAATGTTTAAACTGTTATTTATGCAGATTGTCTTTGTCTTAATAAGTGCTTTTGTTCCTTAAGTGATGGCAAAATTATAGATAGTAGTATATATATTGCTTTATTTTTTAAATTTCTTATAAAGCTGCATGGGAAATTATGAGGCATTTAAATTGTTACTATTGTTTTCATTTATCTTTCCCTTGTACAGTATCACTCAAATAAGTTATAGATGTGAATTCCAATGATCGTATTTAATAGTGAAGTGTCATGTTACTCTGATTACAGAGTAACATGCACAGTTGACTTGATATTGGTCCAGGACGGACCGAAACATTGTCATCTCTTCATTTCTAGTGTGTGGTTTGGTCAAATTACTCTGATTAGTTAATGCTCTATAAGTCTGGGTAAGTGATAGTTTCTTCGAGATGAATCTAGTGATCAAATTGCTTTCAGATTGAGGAAGCAATGAAACCTCTCCTGGCAGCCTGGGCTTTGATTGCCTCTCATACAGGCCCACAAACACACGACTGGAGGAAGAGACCGAAACATGTGGCTCGGCAGTTGGTGAAGCTCGTCAATACACTGATGCAAACAACCTTAAATGATGACTATTCTCAACACCAAGCTCAGCTGTTGCAAATGTTACATGTATTCCACCATTTTGTAAGGGTGAGTACAGGAATTATGAAATGCAAATCATGATCAAATTAAAGATCAAGGAATTGTAAATGTTAAATATACAAATGTTAGTTATTTCAGACAAAAAAATATTTTTGTATACAGCAGTTGTAGTTTTTAGACGTTTAATATTAAGTATTTTCTCTCCCAGGTGTTAGCAGTATGGCCCAGGTCACTACATATGGTTAGACCTACAATATGGCTCACACATCAGATCATTCATATATTTCTCAGCTGTGAGAGACATGCTGGTGAGAGTAGCATGATCAACACAATTCTTATTCTGACACAGACTCTTTCTTCTGTGGAAAGTACACTGACGCAGGTGTATACATTTAGACCTCTACTGAAATTTGGCAGTCATCTTAAGTATAGCAATGTTGAAGACGCTCCTGGGACAGAAGGGACAAATATTGATGCAGTGTCTTGGAAGGTGGATACAAGCAGCTGTCTCAGAAGTAACTCTGCAGTTTGTATGAGGATGAAGAAACTATGGCTCTGTCTTCACATAAATTCCATGAAGGTATACAATCGACTTAGAGAAAAAAAGATGGAAACCATGTGTTATCAGAAATCAATAGCAGCATTGAACATAATACAGAGCAGATTACAGAAACTTGGACATGACTTTAGCCAGAAAAAAATAAAAATAAAAGAATATAATCGGCTCTTTCTAAATGGGATATATCTTGGTGCTGTAGAAAACTGGAAATCTGAGATTATTAAATATATAAGTTATAAAAGGAATAGAAAGACACTATGTAAATATTTCCACTCTATTTTCTACACATATTTACTTCAGAGAGATTTCACTGGTATCTCAAACTTTTTGTCTTGGTTATGTAGTTTACTTAGTTCACATTTATTTGTAATAAAACAATGTAAACTTTCAGATAACATTATGTCATCAACTCCTAAACCAAAGAAATCTGTAACCCAAACCTTGCCTCAGGAACTTCAAGTATCACTAATTGATAGAGGAACAATTATGATAAATAGTCAGGGCACAACTGATGAAGTAACTGGACCATCCGCTGGCCAAAAACCTAAACGGTATTCACAACAAAACTGCGAATCATCCAATTCTACAATGAAAAACAAAATAACCAACAAGAAAGCCAATCGGCCAAATCTGGGTTTGATCTGTGCTACTCGTCAGGTAATCGGAAGCTTGGGTCGTATCATGGCAAATGTGATACTGCAGCGTGAGGTTCACATCCCTTCACCTCACACTCCTCATATTGAATCTTTCAATTGGTTGGACAGTCCTAACTCAAAAGGTATGTTTGAGTTTATATTTTATCTCCATTATCAGATTGCCTAATTCCAATTCAAACTCTACTTATAGTTAGCCTTAGTATAATATTAACTTGTTTAGCAAATGCCTAAACTAATTTTCATATTTTTAATCCAATTACTGTAGTTCCGTAGGTCGGAAAAATGTAAAATAAAAAATTCCATTGGGTGAAGCTGTAATTTGTAATATTATATTACTTCAGGGAGTCACTAAGGTCCCCACCAGAAAGAGGCTTTTCATTTCATTCAATGCTAGTTTTTTTATAAACAAAATCTGATTTCCTTATAATTTATTGAAGCAGAGAGTACAGGTGTGTCGGCAACCTTCAGCCCGCTGATGATGAAGGATGCTATCCAAAAAGCACATTGGTCGTCAGAGACAGCTGCACAAGCTTTGGCAATTGCTGGCTACTGGAGTGATCTCTCGGCTTTTTCTCAAGAGCTGGGAGATGCTAAAACAGCTCTACTCTCCAGCCTTATTTCAGTTGTAACTGAAAAAAATCGGTAAGGTCCTGAGGGTGGAGTTTGAGATTCACCCCTTTTTGCTTCCCATTTTGTAAAAGTACACATTAAAATGTATTCCTTCTAACAGACAGGATTATAAGGTTTGTTCTTGCCCTTCCCCTGTTTTCTTTTTATTGTATAATTTCATCATTTTGCAATCTTTAGGCCTCTTAGCTCTACACACTCATTACTCAAATTATTACAAACTGAACAAGTATTTAATTTGTTCTTTATTAACTTGAATATAATAACTTGTATTTAATACTCCTTTATTTATCAACAATATGCTTTTTGCAATATTGCAAAAAGATGCTGTTTATGATTGTTTTCTTACCAGAATTCCAGCATCCAGCAGTTTGCACCCATCGGCCCTGATTGTCAACTATGTATTACACTGTGGGCCCATGGAAGAGCTCAAGTCATCAGTATTTCACAGTTACCAAGAACTTCTTCAGCTGGCAGCTATGACATGTTTAGATGTTATACCAACTATGCTAGAAGAATGTCTTCAAAAAATAGAAAAGGTCATGCAGCATCTTGAAGTGTTTGTGCCGTCGTATGTGTACCTGCCAGCTCCACCTGTGTTTTGTCCTCAGGTGTCTTCTCATATGAGAGAAACACTCGAGTTATCAGATGATGATGTGCGGTGAGTTGATTGTACACTGTCGTTTTTTTCTCTTTAAATTCATTCTTAATATATATTGAGTACCTGCAGTCTCTACACCTATAAGTGTAAAAGGCCAGTGCAATGATGAAAATATAGTATGATATATACATATAGAGAAGTTTGATTCTGCATAGAAATAGATTTTCAGTATTTTGCTACAAATTTCAACTTTGTTCAAAAATTTGTAATAATTGTGTTTGTGGTTTTGGTATATTGTTACTTCTCATGGAATTTGAAATATCTTGAGTTGAAATTCTATCCATAGTGGCTAGGTCACAGCCTGGGGACGCTGTACAAATCTGTTGTTTCATTATTATCTAATGACTGCCTAGTAGCAGTTGGGTGGTTTTGTTTACAACCCTTCCTCAAAACAACGGGCCCAAATCGGTAAAACACAGAGGTTGTTTTTCCTGTAAATAAAATAAACTTTGCACACGAATCACAATTAATAACATTTAAGCTTTTTCTGAAAAGGGGCTTCTCTAACTTTTGATGTTCAAAACCCACATTTCAAAATGATTGACTCCTCTAAAATCTAATAATGCAGCATTCGAGTTAAGACAAAGAAATATTTGTATGGCTTATAAAGGACATAAAGGGAGGACGGTAGTGAGAGGGGGTGGAGCCATGGAACCAGTTTGGTCAGGGGTACTGGGGAGTCCAAAAAATATGATTGGGTTATTGAAAATATCACTAGCCTCCCAAAATCCATGGATGTACAATGCCTCTGAAAATGCATGAAAATATTCGCTGTGTTTAGGTTAGTGTGGAGACTGAGGAGTCCTATGCAGTCTCCACACTTATCATCAGCTTTGCATCATCTGCAAGAATTGATGTGCAGGAGCTGACTTTGTTTGCACTTAGCTAGGAGGAGGCCTGGTCGACGACCGGGCCGTGGGGACGCTAAGCCCCGGAAGCACCTCAAGGTCAAGGTAGCTATCAGTTACTATTAGGCAAATGATGTATAAGTGAATTAGTGAAAGTGCTTGTGTATTTGTATTAAAAATAGATGCTTGATGAATACAAACGTATTAATTCATTTTCTGCTACAGATGTGATGAAAGGACTTTACGGATGAAAATAGCTGGCTGGGTTAGGGTGTTTTGCTCTGTCGTCAGTGCAGCCGGAATAGCACAACCGTTACTCCAGGACGTGTGCTATAATTATCAACCTTACTCCAAAGAGGTTAGCCATTTCTTTTTGCTATGTATAGACTTTAATTTAATGAATTATAATGTATATTTTATTGTAGATATATTTTGCCGAGACAATTCTTAGACCAAATTGTAAGGAAGCAGTGATAACTGTGGCATTGTGTGATGGACAAATCAGCATGTGAAATTCCATAACTGCTTCAAGTGCCCATTCAAATGTATTAAACATTTGAGGGTGATGGAAATACTGAAGGCTAATCAGGATCTAACCAATAATTATTTTCATAACAAAACTTCCTTGCAGGTATCAGACACATATAGAAAGGAGTTAGATATCCTGGTTGAAGCGCTGGGTAATGTTGAAGCAGACAAGTCTCCCCAGGGCTCAGAGTGGTCAGGAATCACTCGGCTGTGGCAAAAACTTCTAGGTCAACTTTGGATTCTTCATGTTCGAGACAAGTTGTCTTTGTGTGTACGAAAATCTACTGTGAATTCCTCATCTATATATAAGGTGAAATTATTTTCCACAGATGATGATGTTACTGTGTCCCACTAATACTTACTTGTATTAGAGAAATATCATCTTGCTTCCTACCTGTCATTCTGTTATTTAGAAAGTTTTCACGTTACCTTCCCTAACTTTGTTTCTGTACATAAATACTGGTTTTATCTTACAACTGTTCTCATGCATTTAATTTAGTTGCAAAAAAATTTAATAACTGTATTCTTTCATTCATTATCCTCTGTAATCTAATACTATTCACATTTTGGGAGACTATTTATATCAGCTTTCAATATTTATCAATGGGATATTCATTGGTTTTGCAGTAGGGAGCATCCAAGAGTACAGTGGTGCTTAGAAAAGAGGTTTTCTTATGTATTCTAACACCTGTTATTTTATTCCACTTGGAACACAAAATTTCTTGTTGGAATGGATGAGAAGAATATATGCTGATCTTTGCTCTTGCTACAGTGTTTGATGAGTATTGTGTGAATTACGTTCCTTTGTAATGATTTATTTCTTTGAATTAAACTAATTCAAGATTATATTTCTTTATTTGTCTTGTTCAGTAATTATTTTTAGTTTATATTTTGCTTGATCTTTTCAGAAGAAAAGCAGTCAAGGATCATATACAGCAGAAATACTGACTTGGGTGCAAGTGCTCTACAAGCTGATAGATTCCAGTTCTTGGAGGGATGAATTAATTGCTACTGCATTAACAGCGGCTAGTAATAGCCCGTCACTTCCGACAGTTGCCCTAGCTTTGGCCCACATTATTCCAAGTCCATCCCAGTTACCTTCATTGTTAAAAGAAAGAGCCAATAGACTTTATGATCTCTGGAAGATTACGAATGTGGCTAGTCCTGAAGTCAATAATTCTCCTGAAGAGAAGAAATCAGGGAGGCGTGAATCTCTAATTGATACATATACTCAGTTATACCATATATATGAGAAGGAGTGTTTGAAAGAAATAGAGCGTGATGCCAGCAGAAAATGTAAGGAAGCTGCATTAGGGAACACCACCACCTTTGATCAGAGTGCAAATGTTATAGACATGTCCTCTACTCCCCAAACAGCTGAAAGTGTGAGTGAAGAATTTAGGAAATTTGTGTTTCTTTTTGCCAGTATGACCTTTGCACGGGATGCTGAAATGTTTCCACAGCAATTAACACAGATCCCTCATCTTACCCAGTTCAGTGATGTAATAAAGAAGAGAGAGTTTCAAGGAATGAAGATTAAAACTCAGATATTTCAGAGTAAACATGAAGATTGTACAGAGCATCTTCAACAAAATATTTTTGATAATATAAATTGCAGTGATGTACTTAATACAAGTGATGGCAAAAGTTCCATGGGGAAAAAGGGATTCTTTCGGAACTTAGATTATACCAAGATTTGGCAGGGAGACAGTCTGACAGTTGCTCATTTACATAATCATACATTTGATACAAATGGTTTGAGACGTAATCGTCCACATCATAATTCGTTTATTTTCCAGAAGAATAATTTAATCAGTCAAAATAATCCATGCCATCATACAACAAAAGGTGTAGACTCATATTTTAAGCAGGAATGTTCTATGCCAAATAAACGTTTAAGCAAGTGGAATACGGAGCGCAGAAGAAGCAAGTCATATTCGTCAATGAGGAAGCAAGTCACACCTACTGTGTATAACAGGAGATGTCGGTCAGTTAGTGTAACTAAGTATCAGAAGAAAAATATGTTCTTGAAGCTAAATTCCACTGATGTAGCCTCTTCCCAAGGGACATGTTCAAATCAAAACTCGCCATTGAATAATCTTTTGTGTCTTCCTAATTGCCAAACATTTGGTGTGAAATCTGATCACTTGCAAGAATTGATTAAATTAGTGAGTTGGATGATGAGCAGCGAAAGGAAATTTTGCTTTCCTACCATCACAGTCAATACAGTCAAAAACTGTACTAAAAAGAAAGTTGATCTCGGCCTTGAAGATATCATTTTAGCCCTTGGTTGGGAATGCTTATATTCATCTAGTTTACATAATACACTTGAGAGCACTCCAATGACACATGGAAACAAGAAGGAACAAGCTGCAAAGACAATGGATACAGAGGTGCCAGCTGAGAGGAATAAGGAACAGAAGACCAATCAATGTAAGCAAACAGCATTCCAGGCCAGGTCTTCATCCGAAGTGGTCGATGGTGCTAAAGAAATAGATGTAGTGTTTGAGTGTGTTGCTTCATCTAATGGTGCTCAAGAGGAGGAACATTCAGTAAGGGAAGTAGTCAATAGGTCATCAGAGATAGATACACTTCCTACAACCTTCAGTATGGGTGTACAAGAAATTGAAAATTATACAAATGGAAGTCTGGGTGTCTTGACTACAACTGGACGTAAAGATTTTGAGTATATGCAGAAAGAAGAAATACAAAGTTCTTGTAACCTAAATCCTACAATTGATACTGCAGCAAATGATCAGGAAGATAAATCTTCTTGTATTTTAAATCAAATTAAACATGGAATTAATGGCTTCTCAGCAGTGGATGTTGATGATGATGCTATAATTAAAGAAAATGTGACAAGCAATTCATCGAGTGCACACATTAAGAGTTGTGCAAATAAAATGGTTGCAGTGGATGCCACTGTAGATGAACAAGATAAGAAAGCCTTGAACTCCATGAATCTTCATAAGATTGAGTATAATCTAGCACAGCCCTCATCCTCCAGTATTAAAACACACAGTCCTGCAGTAGAAAAATCACAAAATATAAAATTTGAGGGAAAAACTAATGTAAATGATATTGTTACCGAAGATTGCTCCCACAGTCCTCAGAATGCTGCCAGCTCTGGTAATGTGAGTATTGAGAAAGGAGTAATAGAGGAAGAACACCAAGATATTGCCATTATTAAAACTGCTAGTAAAGTATTGTGGCAAAATAAGCCTGAAGCCTGTCAAGCAAGTCATTCAGTAGAAGAATTAGGAGAAACAATTATAACTACGGACATCACTTCCAGCCAGTCAAAGAAAGAGTATGAAAACCTGAGAAAGGAAACTAATGTGGATAAAAAGGGCAAAACTAAAGCTAGGAATAAAGTCAAAGAAGTGTATGAGCAAACTAAGCAGAAAAATGGAGCCCAGAACTCCGGCTGTAATAACAGTTCAAGACTATTTACAGCCAAGCATAAGAGTTTACATAAGCTTCCTAATGTAATAATTGAAGTGAAAGAGGCGGGAAAGTTGAGTCTTCAACATAAAATATTACCATCTAACTCCGAGAAAAAAATAAGGCTCACCCCTATTGAGACAGCTTCAGAAATATTTGAAAACAAAAATAGTACATCTCCAAAATGGCTTTACAAGCCATTTGCAACAAGTCAAGAAAGGAAAAGATTAAGCATATCAGACCTCAGCTGTGATGCTACAAGCACCTCTAATTGCTCTATTGGTCCACCTGTAGATGATACTCTAGATGATATCACACTACCAGACTCATTACACGCTTCAGATCTTGAAGATGAATGTGATTTTAGCATTGCAAGCCAAAATCGTATTCAGGAAAATATAATAAAAAGAAACAAGTTTGAGTTTTCTAAGAGACCTATCACAGGAAAAGATGAAGATAAATTTGGTGCAACACATACTTTAAAAGAAATAGTTAAGCCTAAGAAAGCAGAATGGTGGAACAAAAATGGCATGATATTAAAACCAATACCAACTCGACTCAAACCCATTTCAACCAATCTTGCATACAATTTGGGCGAGCAACAGTATTGTGGTCAAGGAAAACCACAAACCTTTATGGAAAAAGATGGAAAAATTAACAGAAAAGTGAAACTGTTAGTATTACCCAAACATTCTATGGATGATGTAGCATCTTCGACAAAACATCCGCCATTACTGCTAAAACGACTTCCAGCAGGGAAAATATTACAAGTAAACTCCAAGAATAGTAATGCCATTTTGACTCTCCCAGGCAAAGGTTGCTCAGACTATCCAGTGAACATAAAAACTCATAACCATCAAAGAAACGGGACCAAGCAGTTACCACAACAACAAATTACCAGTAAAAATATGAAACTATTAACTTTACCTGTCTCTTCCTATTCCCAACCAAGAGAAAAAACTGGTCCTAACTTTAAGTTCGTCGATCCTAAACAGGTTTTCTCATATTATATGGCAAATGTGATTAAAGATAAACACCAAAAATTTAAAACTCTCAAATTAAATAAACCACATATAAGTCAAAACTTGGTTGAAATTGAGGAAAAGGAAGTATGTAGAAAACTTCCATCTGGGAGTGAAGGAGAGGGGTTTGAAAAATCAAATGCTCAAGATGAGAGTGTAGATAAAGATTTTATTAAAAAGGCTAAAGAATATGCTGATAAATATGAAACGAGTACATTTACAAATATTTTGCCAAGTTTTAATAAGAGAGATGGAACACTGGACTCCAGAGATCGATATGAACCTATACAACGGGTGGATACTGTTTCCCAAAGTCATTGCCAGCTTTTCACATGTAATAAAGAGACACAGACTGTATCACAAGTTCTCAGTGGGTTTCAGCATGTTAAAGTCAAAGATAATAAAGAAATAATTTCCTGTGACAGTGAAGGAGTAGATATTCAAGGTAATATTGAGTTGGGAAGGAGAGAGAATGGAACTGACGAAAAGGTAGGGTTATCCTCATCACCTGTGAGTCGGGGCTTGCCACGAGAGAAGTTACAAAAGGTAGAGTTATCCTCATCACCTGTGAGTTGGGGCTTACCACAAGAGAAGTTACAAAAGGTAGAGTTATCCTCATCACCTGTGAGTCAGGGATCGCCACATGAAAAGTTACAAAATAAATTAATTGAAGAAAGAATCATCAAAGTTAAGGATTCATGGACTGAAATGAGCACTATTGACTTGGATCAGACAACGCCTCTCAAAAGCTGTGAAGTACAGGTATGAATATTAATTTGATTAGGTATTTTAAAATATGGAGGATTCATTAGGTTTGGCCCAATTAATAATTAATGTTCAGTAATCATTAAATCCACTTTTTAGAATTTTTCAGCATATGTATATCTCTAACTCAGAAAGATGGATTAAATGTTTGGATAACTTACCTCAAGGACTTCTCAGAAGCCTTAAGTTTCCTTAGGAACAAGTTATATATAGATAGTGTAACACACGTGACAATCAGCACTGTACAGTTTGATTTATTTACTGATATGCTGCATCAGACTACTGAGAATTATATATATTAATTTTTAGGCAAAAGTGATCTATTGTAATATGAAGCATTGTTAAGAGGCTATTGCATTCTTTTTGCAGACTCAGACTCAAGTTGAAACCACAAAGGATGCTTCAGTTTCAACTCATAATACTCCATGTTTTTATGAACAACCACCACAAGATGATCTTTCATGTCACCCACTACCTCAGCAATGGGTTCCTCAGGCTCACCTACTGCCATCTCATGATATTTCTTCCTCTCATTACACACCGTTTCCTACAACTAGTGTAACTCATGCTGTAGTGACTACGACCACAGATCTCAACTATTTCACTAAGTTATCCCACGAGATAGGCACACCTGGAGAGGTGGTTCGCATAGCTGACATTCCGCAGGAAGTTGCCCAAAGGCAGCTTGAAGAGATTGGAGATGAACTTTATAAAACCATTCATAATGACAAACCAGATGTCCTGCCTAGTGCATCTGATGTTACTGAACAAATTGTAGTCATAAATAACCCTGTGGAAAATAGTACAAATAACGATGTTAAAGATGATGTCACTAAACGATTGGAAACACTTCATACTTTCTTAATTAATGAATCGTCTGCAAAAGATAAATATGATGATGTTTTCAAGCATAACGATACACAAGATAGAGAAAATATCATATCAGAAGAAATGAAGGCGGAGGATGTGGTGTTTACTGACAGTCAAGCTGCACAAGGCAGCAGTGAATATCCAAAAATTGAGTTGCCTCTAACGTGCACAAAAAGTTCACCGGAAGATCTTTTTAAAGGTAATAATACAATTACAATGAATGAGCTCTTTGAAGCATTTTCTGATGGAAGAATAACACTTGAAGATGTATACAAAATGAGTTACCATATCTCAGTGGAAGATGGAAAGACAGGAAAGGAGGAACAAATTTTGGATTGTAAAGGTAATAGCCAAGATATTGAAGAACTAGAGCAACAAGCTATAGAAACTGCATTGGGTCTTGATGAATCACGGAATTTGCTATCAAAAGTGAATCATCTCCTTCAGATCTCGGAGAATTTGGAGAAAGAAAGACTTAAGACTCGCAGATATCAAGCATTAGATGAAAACATCCAGCAATCTTCGTCTAAAAATAAAAAAAATTTGGCCCATGATATTACAAGCAACGCATTTGTAAAGCCTCTGAGATGGCAAGAAATGTTATCTTCATATAAAAAAAGTGGAAACCCAGACATGCTTTTGAACTTTTTTGAGACAGTAAACCTAGAGGAGGTAACAGATGAAATGATTGATGAGATGATAATGTGTGAAGAAATGTGTACAACAAAACATTCTCAAGACACTTCGAGTCCTTTTTCAAAATCTTATCTTAAGACAAAGTCCCTTGAGAATAATGGAAGTTCAAAATTTAAAGGACATTCAAAGACAGATTGCGAAGGTTTTTTAAATAAAAAAGATATCGAAATGAATGGAATGACAGACATTCAAGAAGTAGTTGATGGAAGAATAGCTGGAAGGATTTCAAGAGCTGACTGGGTTGAAAGAGAGGATAAAATGAATGAGCAAGAGACAGGGATGGATTCACCTAAATTTCATCTTGATCTAACAAACCTTGGGTAAGAATAGGAACTGTACAAATCCACAAGGGCCGTGACGAGGATTCGAACCTGCGTCCGAAAGCATCCCAGACGCTGCCATAATCGACTGAGCTACGATTAAGTAGCTCAATAAGCCGTAGCTACAGTAGCTCAGTCGATTAAGGCAGCATCTGGGATGCTCTCTGACGCAGGTTCGAATCCTCGTCACAGCCCTTGTGGATTTGTTCATTTGATGCATCACGCTATTGTGATTTCTGTGTGTAATGAATTGTACATCACAAATTTGTTTATTCCACAGCCATATTCTTTAAAAAGACTACTACCCAATTCTGAAGATCAACCTGTTTGATCTTCAGTTATTTACTTCTTTGTAAAAAAAAGAGATAGTGGATGATTATTGAAAATATCCCTTAGAATGTGATACAGCCACCATCACCATCCCATTACCATAACCACTATCACCACAACCACCATCACCACCACAAGAACCACCACCATTGCAATGACTACCACCACCACAACAATCACCACCTTAATTACCACAACCACCACCACCACCACAAGAACCACCACCATCGCAATGACTACCACCACCACAACAATCACCACCTTAATTACCACAACCACCATTACCATAGCCACAACAATCATCATCCAATCCACCTTAATAACCACAACCACCATCATCATCATAGCCACAACAACCAGCATCCCATTACAACAACTATTACCACAACCACCACCACCACACATCATCAACAGCCACAACCATCACCATTACTATAACAACCACCATCACAACCACCACCATCACAACCACCACTAAAACCACCACTACTGTATCACCTTAATTACAACCACTACTGCATCACCTTAACCACCACCACTACTGTATCACCTTAATATAACAACCACCATTACTGTATCACCTTAATTACAACCACTACTGCATCACCTTAACCACCACCACTACTGTATCACCTTAATATAACAACCACCACTACTGTATCACCTTAATTACAACCACTACTGCATCACCTTAACCACCACCACTACTGTATCACCTTAACACTTTCGAGCTCTCCGCAAAGGTCACTCAGCCAACCGAATGTGCGCGCTTCGTTTTTATCGCTTAAGCGTAAAAACAAAAATGTGTATACTCTTTTTACTCTTCTGACCTTAATTCTCATGCTACGTATTTCATTTTGGTACCAACGTGTTCGCAATAAAGTTCTCTAGAAGAACATCAGTAAAATAAGTCACGAAACATATAGGGATACCAGCACCAAATAAATAACTACGTAGATGACTCGCCGTGAGCGCCCATCAGCAACAAAATGTTTTTACTCTTGGGATTGTAATCATCTCACACTTGTTCTACAGCGTTAATTTTGGTATCAATGGACTCGCAATGAAATTCCCAACACGGTGATATGAATATAAGCGTAGAATAATGATGCAGCCCGCCCGCAAGAGTGTGGGAAGTGGTGAAATTGTTACCCGGTATCGGTGACGGGACGACGCACGGCGCTTTGAAAGTTTATACTTATTTCACTCTCATGACATTAATTTTCTATGTACGTCATTCATTTTTATGTCAATGTGTTCACAATAGAATGTTCTATGTGCCCATAGGTAAAAAATATCAACAAAGCGTAAGTTAGAATAGCGACAAATATAAAACAACGCTGGAACATATCAGTGAGCGTCAAACACACACGAAATATTTTTACTTTTGTTATGTTTGTCAAGTTTATACTTGTTGCACACAGTTATTTTTGGTTGTATATTGATCGGAATAAAATTCCCTAAACAGACATATGCATATAATACATGATATGGGGGAAGAATTACCAGTATAAACGGCTAAAGTCACCCACCTGCAACCCGTTTGGGACAAAATACCATTTGATCGAAGTTATCCACACCTTTCATGAACTTATTGTACCATGCAGCCTAGTGGTGAGAAAGAGAGCCTCATAGCACGCAGTTTGAAACAAACCCAAAGTAAATCGGATAAAAATTGAATTTTATACAAATATTTTAAAAGTAGACATAACTTTACGTCCACTATGCGTTTACGTTAGACGAAACCGAACGCGCCGGCGCGTCCAGATAGCGCGAAAGTGTTAATATAACAACTACCACTACTGTATCACCTTAACAACCATCAACACAACATCTACCATAATAACCACCATCGTTCAGAATTTCCCTAATGCAATCGATGCTTATCTATCTTGTTAAGCTTGACGTTATTATAGGCAGCAACATGCCATTCCAGATCATGGTCAAGCAACCCGCCCACTTGTGCACCTGAGCAGTGCTCAACTAGTCACGATGCTTCACCTGAGCAGTGCTCAACTAGTCATGATGCTTCACCTGAGCCGTGCTCAACAAGACACGATGCTTCACCTTCACACACAGACACAAACAGGCAGCAGAGAAGAGCTGAAGTTCGTGCATGGATGAAGAAACAGCGAGAAAGGCGATCGGCGGAAGCTCAAGCTATGAGCCGAAACACCATCAGCAATACACAGTTGAACACTTACAAGAACTCTACTTCTTCTAAGGTATTGGTATACTGTGTCTTCATATGAAGTAGGAGTTGCTTTTGCTTAGCCCTTGCACTGCTGTGGGAGCTTGCATGCTTATTTATGGATTCACTCCAAGACTGTGCAGGAAGCTTCGAGACTTCTACCTCTAGCAGGCTATTTATAGTAGGGACATTTTAGGAGAGGCTTCCAAAGACAAAAACAAATTCTTCAATGCAATTAGATCCATAATGGATTACGTGTTCAAATATTTACACAAATTTTAACATTGATACACAGTAATTTTACTATATATTGTAGGGGCCTTAATAGTATAATACTATTATCAGTGATACTATTTTTAAGGCTGGACCCCTTTGTAGCTTCTTGAAGTTTGCTGCACAGTATCTCAAGACCCCCTCTGATTATCACAGTTCTGGGACTTTCTCCACCCACTGGGAGCCAATAATAATAATTAATAATTATACTAATAATAATAATAATAAACATCAAGTACTGTACTAATATTACAGTAATTCATTTTATTGCAGAACAGGAAACCAATGTTTACAGTATACTGTATATACTTTGGGCTTATATCTAGGTCCCCCCTCCCTCCAGGTCACATAACAGTATCCACTCAATTAAACGAGCTACATAGGGCTGTACCCGGATCGTTAAATGCGGGGCTCCGCTTTGTCCGAAGTTGTTGAAATGGCAGAAATTTTTTTTATAAATATTAATTAAGGCCCCTAAAATGTGTTTTGCTTGATGAAAATAATATAATTGAATGGCAAGTTTATTTGCTGCAACTTAAAGCTCTTCAAGTTGTATTGAAATGCCAATTGTGCAGAGCAGAATGAACCAATTGTACACTGCAGCATGCAATTGTGGATACTAAACAGCCTTTACTGCCTTCCTTAAACTTGCAGCACCAGAACGTGTTGCATATATTGAAGCTCATATATTTGAATAGTATTTCCTTCTGCTTTTTGATGTCATGTAATGTACTTTTGATAATTTTAAGCTCTGCTGCTACTTGTGAGTGGGAATATCCTTTGACGAGTTTTTGAATTAACTCCAGAGTCTGTGCAACTGTCAAGCACTTCCTTACAGTTTTTGTTTCTTACAAGATTTTTCCCTTGCATGTGGCGAGGGCTACCATATCTATGTATCTGGTGTCTGTTTATCAAACAAAATGTAGTGTTTCCCCCTACCATCTATCTAAAAGAGTATGTAGATTTGTCTACCACCCTTGTCCATGCAGAATATATACAATTTGTTTTATTTTGTGATTGATGTTATGAAAAGTAATTCTTGATAATATAATAACTACTCAATTTTAAATGTTTCTAATTATGCTCATTTATTTGTCAGAAACAAGCAAAAATGGTAATGAATAATTTGCCTGCCATAAAAATGGAGAACCAAGGACTTTGTGGAAAGCAGTTGCGTGAGCGAAGTCGAGAGAGAGAAGACCAGCGTGCACATCTTCGAGAACATCACCAAAGAAAGCGAGAGGAAGATGTGGCTAAACTTCTTGTTGATCATGAGGAAGAATTAGTAACACACAGAGATCTCCTTATCAAGAAACTACCAAATGATTCTCCACGTATTTCTAGTGCTAGTAATAGCACGAATGAAAGTCATCATAACTTAAGATTGCACGGAACATCTGCTGATATTAGAACTGCCATACATTCTCAAAAAAAATGTGTAGATAGACTGAAGTCCAGTTGTAAACTTAAGTCACATAATAGAAGCAGAAGAGATTCTTTACCAGCAGGAAAGAGCTTGCCTAGATGCTTAGATCGAAGAAGAAAAGAGGAACAAATCTCATTGACGACAAATGATGGAAGCTCCTTAACCATTTCACCTGTTAGTCGTAAGGTTCCAGCAGATAAAAATAATGTTAATTTATTACATAAGCTAAACATTGCAAATATTAGTAGTGTTCAAACTGAGCTGGATAATTTGATAAAGTGCTTGGGTCCTGTTGAAAAAAAAAAATCATTGTCATTTCATAGAGAATCTAGTAAGTCATCATCGTGTTCATTACAAATGAAAAGTGAACGCACTAAAAGAAATGAAAACAGTGAAAATAAACAAAAAACAGTCAATGTACCTGAACAATCATTAGATAGGAAACATACATTTAAATCCAACTCAGATATATTTCATCAAATAAATACCACTTTTCCACTGTCACTAGACCGCATTTCTGAGGTGGACTCGGACACCTCGGCAGCTTCATCACTGGCTGGCCCAGGAAGCAGGAGAGAGGAATCCCTACCAGCGGGATTTGATGGTGATTACGGTAAACATGAAACTAGTTCTGAATCATCATGGACCGTCCCCAGTGATGTGAAGAAATTGTTATATGGCTAAATTTGGGAGGGAACATTTCTGGTCATGTGATTCATCAATGATAAATGCATTTTGAATTATGTTAATGATAGAGTTTTTTTCATTCAGGCTGTGTTCAAAGTTTACACTTATGACCTGCAGTCCTTCATCACATCATTAGGTATATCATATTCTCATATTTATAAAATAGTTTCTTTCAATTGCCTGTGGATATATGCCGCTATTTATGGTAAGTTTCCTATATTATATTTTTAGAAAAGATGATAATTTTAGATAAATTTTCTTTTGAAGAAAATGATGTATGGCAAGAGATTATCAAACTATGACCACAACAATAGATACCTGACTTGAAGCTTTAAGATTAAAAGGAAATGTTTGTCATGTTATCAGCCAATTTTTTTACCTTTTATTCAGCGTGTTTCCTTAAGTCTCTCTCAATTCTCTAATAATATTTTTCTCAGTTTGTTACATTCATATTTTTCAACATTTGTTCTACCATCACAAAGATGGCTTCATAACATCAGTTTTTTAACTAACACTTGAACTGAGTGAAAAATACAAAATATAGACAAATGTTTTGCGATTTGCACTTTGTATTTGGCAGTTCCTTGAACTTGGCCACATATGCAAGGGTTCTATCTACTATTCTCCTCACAGGTACTGCCTTGTCGTAGTAGGGGTTTGTTCTTCCCACTTTTCCGAAAGGTGGTTTAGTGTAGTTTATAAAGTTCCTCTTCTGGCCGAATGCTGGAGGGCAGTTAATTGTGGCTTATGAACCAATGAGTTGGAGCTGGTCTAGTTGTACCCTATTCTTATTATATTTACATGATAAAGTACACTTCTTTCATTACATTCTCACTTTCAAGCTCTTATTGTCTATCAAACCTTTTCCTTGAAGTCAAAGGTTTGCATGACTGTTCCTAGGTATGGGCTAGTTTTTTACTGCAACTCCCATTTGTTGTGAAACTTTCAGTGAATGATAGATTCTAACTACAAGGTCCTTTTCTGGGGGGAGCCCCGTCGGCTCCCCGGAGCTTTACCGGCTGATATGCTAATGTCAGACTTTGGCATCAGTCATGTGTATGGAGTTCTAGGGCCTACCGGGGACCACGAGCCAGAACCTGGCCCCCTCAGAGAGGCAAGGGGAGCAATGGCCTATAGAAACCCCCGTGTGGTTGGAAGCATTCTATGTCTGCCATCGACCGGGTCAAGCATCCAGAAAGGTAAGCATTCCAAAACAAACCCCTATTCTGGTGAAAATTGCTACCTAAGCCGAACTAGTGAATAGAACTCTTCAACAGAAAACACGGAAACTAGTATGACGTCATACGTCACCGCGCCGCTGTCTGCGCAGCTCCCCCCTCCCCGGGAGGGGGAAGGGGGAGCCCCAGACCTCCCACGCCGGCTATCCACCCATCAGTTCTTCGGCTGATGCTATAGGCAATGGTTATGTGCTCCGGCTCCAGTGGTTGTTTCAGCACTGTACCTAGAGTGTGGTGTCTGTTTTCTAGGTGGTGCGTGAGCCGGGTGTGATTCTTCAGTACTCGGGCTGCATGCGCCTAGGGTTCCCTTCCCTAGGTGCCCTGTAAGTACTGCCCTTGGGGCTTGGGGCCACCTTCCACAAGTTCCTTGGGTCCTGCCCCTGCTTGGCCGTTTACCGCTTGGTTTTCGGCCGCTCTTTGTGTGCTCGGGTGTTCTGTCTCCCTTGTTCGCCTTAGAGTAAGGGGCAGTGTTTGCACTGGTGGGGCGCGGGGTACTGTGCAGCTTGTCTTTACCAATCATAGCGGCCGGCTCTGTTCCGCTTGGGTACGCTGTCCTCTTGCGGGGTTTTCTTTTTCTTTTGTTTATATACCTGGTGGGGGGGTCTGCCTTCGTTCTTGCCCCTTGTGTCCCTTGTGTTCTGAGTATTTCTGGTGGTACCCCCTGCTAGGTCCCCGTGAGTGTACACGTCCCGGGGGTTCAGCTCTTAGAAAGTTGTTTGGTAGCTTGGGTGCCGGTTAGCAGTACCCTGCCTGGGATTACCTGAGCGCGAGTCCTCTTAAAGTAAACGCTCGGGACCCTGGGAAACCCCTGGGGGCGCGCGGGTCCGATGGATGTGACCCCAGAGCCCCCCCCTCGCTTCCAGCGAGTTTGAGGGTTGCTCTCACCTTTTGTCTCTGGGTGACTCTCTGTTTTGCCTCCGTCTGCTGCCTGTGGGGTCGGTGACACCTTCGACCCGGTGTCCTGCGAGTTTGGTTGCTCGTTGTGGCTCGGTTACCCAGTTGTGCTAACAAAGCGGGTGCGGGCAGCAGGGGCGTTGCACTTGAGCCTTGGTGGTGGCAACGTTCTCGTGGTTTCCTCCCCGGGAGCCCCGGGGCTGCCCCGTTGTATTTCGTTTTTCCCCTGGTTCACCCTTCCTGCCTGCATCCGGTTCCTTACCGTCTGTAGGTTCAGGGCGGGGTGTTTGGTGGTGTTGAGACTCGGGCAGTCTCGGGGAATTCCCCTTCCGGGGTAGTGACGGGGGCATTTGGGCCTGTTCCTCCAGCCGTGTTGTATGAGTCTGCCAGTGGGCTCCCTTCCTTAGTGTTTTCACGGCTGCCCCGGTTTTCTGGTACGGCCGGGGCTTTGGGGGAACGGCTCGGCCCCGGGGCCTGTCGTGTAGGTTCCCGGGGCTGGGGAGGGGCTGACTTGGGGGGCCTTGGCCCCGTTAGACCCCGTGGGGGGTTTTATCCCCCTCTAGGCGGGGCTTGTGGTTACGCGGAGTGGGGTTTTTCCTCCCCACTCGCCGTACGTGCTGTTGGACGTCGGCCCCTCCCCGGGCTCGGTTCCTTGGCCTTTGAGTCGGTTGGTTCCGTCCTGTGGGTGGATGTTTCCTCCCCCGCTTTTTGGGACGGTGTTTTTGTCATGTTTCCCCGTTCGATGGGGTTCTGCGTGACTTTTGATCTCGGGTGCGCCTGCGCCTTCGTGTGCCTTCGGGACTAGTGTTGGCTTCTGTGTTCTCGAGGGTACGGGAAGGTTTTTCGCTACTTCCCGCATTATTGGAACGTCTGTCGGCTCCTAGTACTTGTCGCCCTGTTGGGCTACTTGTCGCCCTGTTGGGCTACTTGTCGCCCTGTTGGGCTACTTGTCGCCCTGTTGGGCTACTTGTCGCCCTGTTGGGCTACTTGTCGCCCTGTTGGGCTACTTGTCGCCCTGTTGGGCTACTTGTCGCCCTGTTGGGCTACTTGTCGCCCTGTTGGGCTACTTGTCGCCCGGTTGGGCTACTTGTCGCCCGGTTGGGCTACTTGTCGGCCGTTTGGGCTACTTGTCGCCCGTTTGGGCTACTTGTCGCCCGTTTGGGTTCCCTTTTTTTGGGCTCTTTGCTTCTTTGGCCGGTTTTCTTGTTCCTGCTTCCTCTTTTGGCTCTTTTTCTCGTGCAATAGTCCTGGCTGGCGCCTTCCCGCAGGGAGGGTGTGCGGTTCGGCCAGCGTGTTATGCGCATGCGCCGTGGAGTTTGTTTTGGTCTGGGCGATGGTTCAGTGCTGGGGTTTTGCGCCCTTTTTTGCTACAGTGCTTCGCCTCTCGTTCTTCTCCCTGGCTGCGGTATGTGCCCCTTTGCGCCAGGGGTGTCCTGGTTCCCAGTTGTGGGGAGGACACCGCGGTTTTCTGTGTCATGGGTGTGGACCGCCTCCTTCGCCTCTCCCTGTTCTCCTGCGGGTCCGGCTCTGGCGTCTTCACCTGGCGGTGCTCCCAAGTTCTTCTGGGCACGGTTGAGTCGTGTCAAGTTCGAGCCACCATTCGCCAGGTGAGTTTCTGCGGTCTGGCGTCTTTTGGCCGGGCGCTGGATGCGGCGGTGTTCATATACCTGTCTTTATTTAGGTATAATTTTGTACGACTGAGACCGTTCGCACACCAGTGACTGTCCCTTTATCACCCCTTCCTGTCCCCCTCCTGTGCATGTCCAACCCATGCTACAGTCGTTCAGGGGACCCTCCTTTTTTAATGTTGTGAGGTGTGGGGGTTGTAGGGTTGGTTCTGTACTCACCTGGTGAGGCTCCTGGCTGTGCTTGCAGGATTTGAGCTCTGGCTCTTGGGTCCCGCCTATCTGGTAGAACTTGCGGGATAGTACCAGTGGAGTGCAGTGGTGCTATTGGCACTTTTGGGGAACACTGTATTACCATCAGTGGTCTGTGCTTGTTACACGACCTACTTGCGAGCATAAGCCTTCTTGCTGGTTCGTCCGTGGACTTCCAGGGCGCACTGGCCTGTTTTCGTATGGCAGTTCCGGCCCGTCCTGGTTGTGGGGGTATGTGGGCCGGTGGACTGCTCCTAGCAGCTGCCTGGTGGGCCATCCTCTGGCCGGTCTGGCCTGACCTTGGGCCGGGCTTGAGGTGTAAAAGAGCTCCCAGTACCTCATCCAGCAGGTATCGAGCGGGGTTTCTCCGCCGTCGGTCGCCTGGTGCAGGTTTCTGGGCCTGCAGGGTTTTGTCGTGTCTCCGTTGGCCCTGTCTGGGGTCTGCCTGCTCCGTTCTCTGCCTTTGCAGAGGGGAGTTGCTATTTACATGTTGCATGTTGCAGTGGTGCCTGTTGCTGCTGCTGCGGCACGTGAGCATTGGTACCGTGTTTCACGGTGGCGTGTCCTTGTTCCTGTGTCCGGTTGTGGAGTGGCGCTTTGCTGCCGTTTTGTGCCTGGGGATTGCGTGGGGTTTTTGTCCCTGCCTGATTGTCCACCCCTGGTTGTTCTCCTGGTTTTTTTTTTTTGTGCTTCTGCTCTTTCTTCCTGCCTCTTCTGCAGCAGGAATGTTCTGCGTGTGTTCTTAGGCGTTGGTCAGCCTGTGTCCTGTGATGTGCTTCTTTGTTTCGGTCTGTTGCAGTTGTTCGGGCCCCTTGGTTCGGGTTCTGTTCTGGCGGCGACCCTTCCGCCTTCTTTGGTTTTCCTAGCTTGCCCTGCCGGTTGTTGTTGTTGTTTTATTTTTTTTGGGGGGGTTCTTGCGATGTCTCGCGTCGGACCCGTCGTTTCTGAACTCCTGGCGGGCTTGCATGCTTCGGAGTTTTTCTGTTCGGCAGACGTTCCATCTCCTTGTGCCGCCTGGGTTTCGGTGGTCGCGCCCGAGATCTTCTCGCGGCTCCGCCTTTTTCCTGGGCTCGGGGGGGCCTTGTCGGGGCTGCTTATGTTCTGCCTCGTGGTCTCGCCTCCGGTTGGTGGTCGGGTGGCTTCGTGGTAGGTGTCCCACCTGCGTGCTTCTTGGCGGCAGTATGGGGTATTTTGGCGGTCCTTCCTTTTCCTGTCCCTTCTTCGGTGGGTCCTTCTTGTTGGCTTGGTTTACTCTCGGCTTGGTTTTCTAGTGGGGGTTGGGGGCCGTCGTCTTGCCACATACTGTCGCCTCTTTTCGTGCGGCGCAGGCGGAGCCGCTTCAGCTTGCTTTCGGTCTTGGTGTTGCTTCTGCACCGTTAGTCAGCTGTCTTGTGCGTCATTTCACCTCCGGCCTGTTCGTGCGCCGCTTGCACCATCCTGGTCTCTGGTCAGCGTGCTCTGTCTTCTCCTCGGTTGGTAGTGCCCCTTCGGTTCCGGTGTGTTTTTTCGTCGGCTCTTTCCTTTGGGCCTTTGCCTCTGGGGGTCGGTTCGCTGTGTTTTCTTGCTCCTTCGGTTTTAGCGTTTTGGTTGTTTGATGGCAGCAGTCTCCATCTTTTCTGGCGCGGGGTGGGGCTGCTGCATTCTGGAGGGGTCCAGGGTTTGTTGGTGCTTTGTTGGTCGGGCCGGGGGTGTGTCGTTTTTGTGTTCAGTGGCGGCCCTCTGCTGTTGTTTGCGTGCCACGGCGTTTGGGTCCGGAGCGCGTTTTGCGTTGATCCGGTTCTGTTCTTCCCGGTTCGCGGGTGATGGTGTCCCGGGTGGTCAGCCGTGTTCTTGTGGCTAAGCTGCCTGTGTTCTTCCCTTATGCCTGTGGCGTTCGTGGCTTCGCTGCTCTCGCTGCCGTCTGGGCGACGTGGCCTTGCAGTCTTTCGGGCATGGATTTTTGGTGTTCGTGCAGGGGCCTTGCTGCTCGTGGTTCTCGTGTTGTTCCCGGGATTTTCGGGGCTGTGGCGCCTTGGGTTGGCGTTTGCTGCCGGTTGTCTCGCCTCCTTGGGGGGTGCGTGGTGTCCGCCTCCCGGTTTTGTCCCTTTGACCTTCCTCTGTGGGTAGTTAGCTCCGGGGAGCCGACGGGGCTCCCCCCAGAAAACCAGCGTTGAATGTAATGAAACGCCATTTTCTGGGTGAGACCCGGAGGCTCCCCGGCAACCCTCCCTCCCTCCGGTCGGCGTTTTTCGCGTGTTTTGACATCCAGCCTCAGAACTGATGGGTGGATAGCCGGCGTGGGAGGTCTGGGGCTCCCCCTTCCCCCTCCCGGGGAGGGGGGAGCTGCGCAGACAGCGGCGCGGTGACGTATGACGTCATACTAGTTTCCGTGTTTTCTGTTGAAGAGTTCTATTCACTAGTTCGGCTTAGGTAGCAATTTTCACCAGAATAGGGGTTTGTTTTGGAATGCTTACCTTTCTGGATGCTTGACCCGGTCGATGGCAGACATAGAATGCTTCCAACCACACGGGGGTTTCTATAGGCCATTGCTCCCCTTGCCTCTCTGAGGGGGCCAGGTTCTGGCTCGTGGTCCCCGGTAGGCCCTAGAACTCCATACACATGACTGATGCCAAAGTCTGACATTAGCATATCAGCCGGTAAAGCTCCGGGGAGCCTCCGGGTCTCACCCAGAAAATGGCGTTTCATTACATTCAACGCTGGTTTTTTTTCATTGATTTGCTGCAAGGTAATGTTGTTAATTTGGTTGTTGAGGCAAGTATTGTTATGCACCACATGCACAGTCTTATGTATTTCATAATTAAAAAGCATTTATAGTCTTTTGATCATCTGTGGCATTCATGTAGTTCTCTTTGAAAGGCTTCAATATCATTTTAATTTCTCACTTAGCCATAAATCTTAGTGTCATCTGCATATCTGATGACATAGTTTGTAATATTCTCATCTCTGTCATTGATGTATATGACAAAAGGGGTTGCCCTCAAAATGCAACCTTGCAGCACCCCACTCACCACATTCTCCTGTCAAATTCATTTCCATTTAGGAGAACTCTTTGGTTTCCTTGTTTTATCCATTTTAGTATTTTAACACTCATTCCATGTGCCAGTAATTTCCTTGCTAGTCTTTCATGTGTGCCTTATCATAAACGTTATCAAAGGCCATGTATACTGGTTATCGTTCCAAAAACGTGAGCAGGTTTGTAAGGTAGGATCTATTTTTAACAAACCCAAGTGTAGATTTTACGGGATTGTTCACAGAGATAGGATTCTCTCCATGAGCTTGCAGATTTGTGAGGTCAAGCTGAGCTGACCATAGTTCTCTACTGAGCTCTTCCTGCCTCTTCTGAAAATAGGTATGAAATCTGCATACAGTATTTCCAATCAGGGGGGGACTATTCCTTGGTCCAGAGATTTTCTGGAATGGAGTTTCAATGGTAGGTATAATTCATCTGCCAGTTCATTTATAACTTTGGATTGAATTCTGTCCACACCTGACAAGAATCTGGAACAGAGCAGTGGTTATTCGGGCAGGTGTTATGCCCATCACACATTAATAAAAAAAAAGTAAAACAAAGAAAACAAAACTGCTTGTGTCCTCTGTGTGAGAGCTGCGGGTAAAATCCAAAGAGAATAAAAATTTCAAACATTTAATGTAACAAAAATGACTTTATTATTACACCAAAAGAATAAGTGATGATGAAAACAAAACCCTTAAACACTTGGCTTTACACAAGATCAAGAAGAGAAATATATATGAGTGAAATTTACGTTAATAACAAGGTGCAAGTAATTCTTTATAAAAAAACTGCACGTGTCTACCGTCACCCGGGGAAGCGAGAGTAGATGTTGCAGCTGAGAGCACTTGGAGGGTAGTCTAGTGTGCTGGACACCGGCAGGCCCTTTTTTTTATATGTACGTGTATATATATATATATGTCGTACCTAGTAGCCAGAACGCACTTCTCGGCCTACTATGCAAGGCCTGATTGGCCTAATAAGCCAAGTTTTCCTGAATTAATATATTTTCTCTAATTTTTTTCTTATGAAATGATAAAGCTACCCATTTCATTATGTATGAGGTCAATTTTTTTTTATTGGAGTAAAAATTAATGTAGATATATGACCGAACCTAACCAACCCTACCTAACCTAACCTAACCTAACCTATCTTTATAGGTTAGGTTAGGTTAGGTTAGGTAGGTTAGGTTGATGAAAAACAATTAATTCATGAAAACTTGGCTTATTAGGCAAATCGGGCCTTGCATAGTAGGCTGAGAAGTGCGTTCTGGCTACTAGGTACGACATATATATATATATATATATATATATATATAGTTTGTTTGTTTATTTATTTTTATTTATTTATTTATTTATTCATTTATTCATTTATTCATTCATTCATTCATTCATATTTATTTATTTTTATTTATTTTTATTTATTTATTTATTTATTTATTTATGTTGGATTAATGAACTTTGTGAGTGTGTGGTGAGGAAGGGCAGGAAGCTTAAGGCTTGACAAGCAGCCCGCCATAAACAAAGGCCAAAGTCCATTCCATGCACCCGCCAAACCCACTGTTTATGAATGAAAAACGGTTTACACACGACTCACAACTGATGACGTCCGGACACTTCCGGAACGAGTGATTCACTGACGACTTTTGTTCGGACTACTATAAATGCTTCACCCACGAACTACAATTACAAATTATCGCCAATGGAACCTAAACACCTAACCAATGTCTAAATATGCACAGTATGCTAATATATAATAATATTAAGTTAACATTAATAAATGCAGTTTTGGGGTCGACCGCTGACAGGTCGACCCCAAAACTTGGTCTGAGGCTCGTTTAAATTTAACTTGTTCAGTATATTAACTCGTAATATTAGCCGTTATAATAGTCTGCCTCGTTAGAATAGGCGTCACTTGTGTCGCCCATTCACAGCCTCTGAATTTGTTTTCCAAATTACAAAATAGATGTCAATACCTGAACCCAAATAGTTGAACAATGTAAACAAGGAACTCGCTGGAAAGAACACTAATACACTAGTGTATTAGTGACTGCAAACAACATTTCCAAGTTTGTAGTGTTAAATATCCCAATATTATTTTCGTGAAAATATTTTAAATCCAAATGAATTAGATAAATGTATGCCCTGTCACCCTCGCCAGCCTCGTCCTACATCATTCCCTCGTCGACCACGAGGCCGAGCGGACGTGTCCGGACGCTCTCCGCCGCCCCTCGCCCCCTCACCCTCACTCGGGATGATGGGGTCTCGCGCTCGACTCTTGTCTTCCAATCATCTTTTCTGACGCCTTGGAAGACACTGGGGCTTAACCTGAGTGTTTCTGCGTCTTGATTCACGTCGTGCGGTGACGCGGGTTTAGCGCCATGTGTCCAAGCCACCTTAAATACGCCTCTATTTGAGTTTCCATCGGATCAACTGTGATTTTCTTCTCGATTAATTGTGAACAGGTAATTAGTTTGGTTCAAGTTCAAGTATGTTTATTAAGACAAAGAAATACATCTCAGAGGAATAGAGTAGCTTAGGTTATTTCTAACCCAATATTAGTTTGGTTGTATCAGACTGAGGTATGTGTATGTATACGCCACGACGTGTGTGTGTGTGTGTATACATGCCTGGGCTGCATGTATATTTCAGGACAATACGTGTATGTATGGGTTACAGAAGTACCTGTGTGTATTCGCCAGGGCAGTACGTGTATGTATACGCCACAACAGTACGTGTGTGTGTGTGTATACATGCCTGGGCTGTATGTATATGTCAGGACAATACGTGTATGTATGGATTACAGAAGTACCTGTGTGTATTTGCAAGGGCAATACGTGTATGTATTCGCCAGGGCAATATACCTCTATGTATACGCCACGACTACGTGTGTATGTGTATACATGCCTGGGCTGTATGTATATTTCATGGGCAATACGTGTATGTATGGGTTACAGAAGTACGTGTATGTATTCGCCAGGGAAAATACCTGTATGCATACACCAGGGGCAGTTCGTCTATGTATATATCAGAGCAATATGCATGCATTACAGCAATACATTTGTATGTATATGTTTGAACAGTATGTGCATGTGTACGTGAGAGATGTTCATGTATGTATACATCAGACCAGTGCGTATATGTATACGTCAAGACTATGTGTATGTATTATTATAATAGTTCAAGGTCAATAATAATATCGAGGTCACCAACCCCCCCCCCCTCTTAGGATGCAACCCGATAATAAGCTGACTAACTCCTGGGTACCTATTTACTGCTGGGTGAGTAGGCGCATTAGGTGATAGAACATGCGCCCAACCACTTCTGTCCTACTCGGGGTTCTCGATTGTGAGTCGAGAACGAAGCCGACTGTACTACAGGGACCCTGAATGTAAATGACCCTAATTATGTATACGCTAAAGCAGTACGTGTATGTATACGTGAGGGCAGTACGTGTATGTATACGTGAGGATAGTATGTGTATGTATACGTGAGGACAGTATGTGTATGTATACGTGAGGGCAGTACGTGTATGTATACGTGAGGGCAGTATGTGTATGTATATTTCAGGGAAGTATACTTATGCATACGTCAGAGTAGTACGAATATGTGTACGTCAGATCTGTTTGTATTTGTATACATCAGAGTAGTACGTATATGTATACGTCAGAGCAGTAGGCGTATATGTATATACATCAGGGGAGCATGCGAATGTATACGGCAGGGCAGTACATATATGAATACGTCTGAACAAATCATAATTAAGTTCAAGTTCAAGTATATTTATTGAGACGAAAAAATATATCTCAAAGGGATAGCGTAGCTTAGGCTATTTCTATCCTCCCTAAATCATAATTAAAGCACAGTAAGGTGAAGAAAGGTGTAACCTCTACACCAAACATTGAGGGACTCAGAGACTGTGGGGGTGTATAGTGCAACCTTAAAGACTGTTTGGTGATCTAACTTGTATTAATTGTTAAATATCTCCGTTATAAACCCGTTTTAAGTCTAATGTATGGAAAATGGTCCAGGATGGACCGAAACGTCGTCGTCCATTTTCTAGTGTGTGGTTTGGTCAACATTTTTCAGCCACGTTATTGTGACTCCTCGTCTGCAATAATTTTTTTGTTTAGCTTGATATATTGTTTAAAACGAAACTGAACTTTACTGTTAATGATAATTGAAACAAAAATCTTTCCAATCAGTGCAAAGAAACTGGAAAAATTACAGAGATGAAATAATTACATGGAATGTGTCAGCTCCAGTATTTAATCAGCTGCTAAGATCGAAGAGTTAGACTAATAGAAAGATGTGTTGGTGTAACAAGTGAGAGAGAGAGTGTACGACACCCAGCTACTAGGCTGTGTATGGGGTGTGTTGACGAGGCTTCACTCTACCAGTGCACAAGAGAGAAGCGAGAGGAGGCCGCTGGGATAATACCACTGACTCACTGTGGGACAGCTGCTGGATAAGGTAAGATACTTTTTAAAGCGTTTATGTGCCCAACTACTTGGGCTGGACGGTAGAGCGACGGTCTCAAGTTCAAGTATGTTTCAAGCAATAAATACATCTCAAAGGGATAGAGTAGCTTAGGCTATTTCTACCCCCCTCGACGGTCTCTCTCCATGCTGGTCGGCGTTCAATCCCCCCGACCGTCCACAAGTGGTTGGGCACCATTCCTTTCTTCCCCCGTCCCATCCCAAATCCTTATCCTGACCCTTTCCTAGTGCTATATAGTCGTAATGGCTTGGCGCTTTCTCTTGGTACACTTTTCATTAGAACACTGTTGGTGTTCTAATGTTTGGAGAGGTCCATAATCCTAATTCCCGCCGGGATTCGACCCGCCAAATCGTTTCTCAACCAGGTACCTATTCACTGCTGGGCAAACTTCCCCCAGCACAGTCAAGTTCACTGCTGCTACAATTGAGGATTGGCGCCCAGTCAATCCTCCCCGGCCAGGATATGAGGTCAAAGTGCTTGAGAAGCGCTGGGCCAGTGCTTTACCACTACACCACGGAGCTTCCCAATATATGTAACCCTCAATGTATGTACTATGGATACCAGTGTATGTATACCCCAATTATGTAATATGCATATCACAGTGTATGTAGATATTCCAACGTCCATTAATTACGGGCTATTCATGCCCGTGCCACCTCTTGGATGGCTTAATCTTTATCAATCAAATGAAAGGAACGGAGGCTATACATTACTCTCTGATATTTGTTGGCGAGGATTTGTCAATTATTTTTCTGTAATTTTTATAAAAATAATTGAATATCACGATTTTTTACATTATGAATTATTAATTACTAATAGGTTTGAATTACTAATGTAATTAATTTTGTTTAAGGTAAGCAGAGTTAAGTTTTGGTTCAAATTAAGAAGATTAAACTATGTTGACCAGACCACACACTAGAAGGTGAAGGGACGACGACGACGTTTCGGTCCGTCCTGGACCATTAAGAATGGTCCAGGACGGACCGAAACGTCGTCGTCGTCCCTTCACCTTCTAGTGTGTGGTCTGGTCAACATACTTCAGCCACGTTATTGTGACTCCTCGCCTGCACAAGATTAAACCAGCATCATATTACTTATATAGAGAAGTATGACTTTTATAGGATACTTTAATTGTTTTTATTGTGGCCTCCATAAAAGGTTGAGAACTTTTGTTGTTGTTTAAACATTAATATCAGCAGAATGTCGTTCGCCTCGCCTAGCTCAGGCTGTTCTGTGGGATGGGGAAACACCTCGAAACTAGGCAAAAAAGAAGACCTAGTCGTCTAAGACTTGGGAGGACCCAGAACATAGGTTCGAATCCTCATCACGGCTCATACGGATCTTGTCATTGAGACTTCACGTTAATGTGATTACTCTCTGTGTGCACCTCAAAATTAGGTTAGCCTGAAGATGGGGAGTTAGGTGAGGGGGGGGGGGGTTAAGGAGGGGATGGGGGGGGGGAGAGAGAGGGGGGTTATTGGGGGTGGGGTGGGGGGGGTAGGTGAAGGGTATTGAAGATCAATGTGGTCAGCCCTCTTATTCATCTTCAAGTCTGTGATCGCTGGCGCAAGAGGCGCTCTTGGGGACCGTATTGCACAGTGATTAAATATGTACATTTCAGGCAGGAGAGCTCTTGGTTGGTACCTGTCAAGGTCCTGTAGCCCTAGAGCCACATATAGAGCTCGCGGGTCAGACCTTGGAATATACTACTTTGACGACTAAGACTAAATAAAAACCTTGGGTCAGGGGGGTCACCGTGCAGGACTCTATCACGTGGAGTCTCGCAACTCTGTGTGTGTGTGATTACCTAAGTGTAGTTACAGGCTCGTGGTGTCCCGTCTTCCCAGTACTCTTTGTCGTATGTCTTTGGAATTACTGACGGTTTTGGCCTCCAGCTTCTCACTTAACTTGTTCCAACCGTCTACCACTCTGTTCGTGAAAGAAAACTGTCTAATATTTTTGTCGGCACCTTTGTTTCTCTAGAAAATTACGGGCCGAGCAGCTCAACAGTTTAATACATAACCCGCCACAGCTTCCTCTTCCTGTCGTTCTGAATCTTGTGTGTACTCATCTAGTTGTGCTTGCGGGGGTTGAGCTCTGGCTCTTTGGTCCCGCCTCTCAACTGTCAATCAACTGGTGTACAGATTCCTGAGCCTGTTGGTGTCTATCATATCTACACTTGAAACTGTGTATGGAGTCTGCCTCCACCACATCACTGCCTAATGCAATTCCTAATGTGTGTGTGTGTGTGTGTGTGTGTGTGTGTGTGTGTGTGTGTGTGTGTGTGTGTGTGTGTGTGTGTGGGGACACAATGGTGACCAATGAGGACGCAGAACACGGTGTACCCCGTCTCCTGAACAAATCCACAAGGGCCGTGACGAGGATTCGAGCCTACGTCCGAGAGCATCCCAGACGCTGCCTTAATCGACTGAGCTATGCCATGGTCATGCTCTCGGACGTAGGTTCGAATCCTCGTCACGGCCCTTGTGGATTTGTTCATCTGATGCACCACGCTATTGTGATTTCTGTGTGTACCCCGTCTCTTATCCTGACGAGACGGGAGACAGTTGACACACCCAGCTTAATGCTGGTCTCTTGGGCTCCGGCTCTACGACCCGTCGTCTACCCATGACTATTAGTCATATACAGACCCCAACATCTCATTAAGTAGCAGTAAAATAAGTACCTGGGTGTTAGTCAGCTGTCACGGGCTGCTTCCTGGGGGTGGAGGCCTGATCGAGGACCGGGCCGCGGGGACACTAAAGCCCCGAAATCATCTCAAGATAACCTCAAGATAACCCCAACATCTCATTAAGGCGATATTTGACCTGTACTTCAGGCTGTCAACTGACAATTCATAGTTTATACGCTGTAATAACAAGTTGATTATTACACATCATATAATTATTATATAAAATAATAATATATTTTTTGGTTTATGCATAACTAGACTTATATAAGGTCAGATAAGGTGTTTTGGCTACGGCGAATCAGGAATTTCACCCTGGTATCAGGTATCAGGTATCTGGTATCTGGTTGTTAAACGATTTGACGGTCGTATTCCAAGGAAAAATTAAGGTTAAGAACCTGGCCGAAACGCTATGCGTGCCAGTGGCTTTACAAAAATGTAAGAATTCTTGTATATATAATAATACAAAATAGAAGTGTTTTTAGAGACAGTGAAGCAGGTTTCCAGCCATACAGAGGCTTCACCGCCCTTACCACGGCGGAAATCCCTAAATTATTCGTTCCAATACCGAGGATCCCTCAAGCTATGTTAACTTTCTTAGAAATATTTATTTTTGGTTTTTCTGTTTGATGTATATATATTGCGGAAGCCTTAAGGAAAGTTCTCGGAACCCTCGTTGGAAAATACTTGTTTAAAACATGACCAAGTGGGTTGTTAGTGTAATTGTAGTCCCATCACCATCCGGACTCCTGTTGTATCAGGCTCCTGTAGTCCCGTCACCATCCGGACTCCTGTTGTATCAGGCTCCTGTAGTCCCATCACCATCCGGACTCCTGTTGTATCAGGCTCCTGTAGTCCCATCACCATCCGGACTCTGTTGTATCAGGCTCCTGTAGTCCCGTCACCATCCGGACTCCTGTTGTATCAGGCTCCTGTAGTCCCATCACCATCCGGACTCCTGTTGTATCAGGCTCCTGTAGTCCCATCACCATCCGGACTCTGTTGTATCAGGCTCCTGTAGTCCCATCACCATCCGGACTCTGTTGTATCAGGCTCCTGTAGTCCCATCACCACCTGGACTCTGTTGTACCAGGCTCCTGTAGTCCCGTCACCACCTGGACTCTGTTGTATCAGGCTCCTGTAGTCCCATCACCATCCGGACTCCTGTTGTATCAGGCTCCTGTAGTCCCGTCACCATCCGGACTCCTGTTGTATCAGGCTCCTGTAGTCCCGTCACCATCCGGACTCTGTTTTATCAGGCTCCTGTAGTCCCGTCACCACCTGGACTCTGTTTTATCAGGCTCCTGTAGTCCCGTCACCACCTGGACTCCTGTTGTATCAGGCTCCTGTAGTCCCGTCACCACCCGGACTCTGTTGTATCAGGCTCCTGTAGTCCCGTCACCATCCGGACTCCTGTTGTATCAGGCTCCTGTAGTCCCATCACCATCCGGACTCCTGTTGTATCAGGCTCCTGTAGTCCCATCACCATCCGGACTCTGTTGTATCAGGCTCCTGTAGTCCCGTCACCATCCGGACTCTGTTGTATCAGGCTCCTGTAGTCCCATCACCACCTGGACTCTGTTGTACCAGGCTCCTGTAGTCCCGTCACCACCTGGACTCTGTTGTATCAGGCTCCTGTAGTCCCATCACCATCCGGACTCCTGTTGTATCAGGCTCCTGTAGTCCCGTCACCATCCGGACTCCTGTTGTATCAGGCTCCTGTAGTCCCGTCACCATCCGGACTCTGTTTTATCAGGCTCCTGTAGTCCCGTCACCACCTGGACTCTGTTTTATCAGGCTCCTGTAGTCCCGTCACCACCTGGACTCCTGTTGTATCAGGCTCCTGTAGTCCCGTCACCACCCGGACTCTGTTGTATCAGGCTCCTGTAGTCCCGTCACCATCCGGACTCCTGTTGTATCAGGCTCCTGTAGTCCCGTCACCATCCGGACTCCTGTTGTATCAGGCTCCTGTAGTCCCGTCACCACCTGGACTCCTGTTGTATCAGGCTCCTGTAGTCCCGTCACCACCTGGACTCCTGTTGTATCAGGCTCCTGTAGTCCCGTCACCACCTGGACTCTTATTTACCCAGTCCATTTCTGCGATTAAAATGACTGACTAAGAGGGCCCTTTGCCCACTGTTCTCCGGTTGTGCGCGCATGCGTGTGTGCATGTGTGTTCCCGCATGTTGTGCAGGCCCATGCGTGTATGTGTGTTCCCGCATGTTGTGCAGGCGCATGCGTGCGTGTGTTATGGTCAAACTGACTGTGGAAATACGCCTTCACG